CCATGTTTAGCACTGATAGCATAGTGTTGGCAAAAAAATTGTTCTGATGAGATTCACTTTAGTACTCCAGGGTATCTGCTTGTGTGTCAACAGGGGAGATAGTTGCCCCATTACCTGACTTCTTTATAAGCAGTTTTCTTTTTGATTTTGTTCCATCCAGTCCTCTGTCAGTCAGGGACGGTCGGATGTTGTCTTCCCAGTGAACCCTAGCACTGTGCAATCACTGGATGTTGCCTTCCCAGTGAACCCTGGCACTGTGCAATCACTGGATGTTGTCTTCCCAGTGGCACTGTGCAATCACTGGATGTTGTCTTCCCAGTGGCACTGTGCAATCACTGGATGTTGTCTTCTCAGTGAACCCTGGCACTGTGCAATCACTGGATATTGTCTTTCCAGTGAACCCTGGCACTGTGCAATCACTGGATGTTGTCTTCCCAGTGAACCCTGGCACTGTGCAATCACTGGATGTTGTCTTCCCAGTGGCACTGTGCAATCACTGGATGTTGTCTTCCCAGTGAACCCTGGCACTGTGCAATCACTGGATGTTAATGTAAAGTTAATTATGAAAAAAAAAAAAAAAAAAAACCAAACAAGTTCTTGTACAAAATGCTCATTTGAAAAGATTTGGTGACTAGAATAAGGTGATAACTTCTGTCAGAGAATATAAACATTGCTATAAAACTTATAACTTGACATACCATTTTAACATTAATAGCCACAGACAAATAATGACATCATTTATCCATCACAGCGCCCATCAAAGAATATATATATATAAGTAACCAACACTGTATAATTAATCATAGTTGACTACAGCCTTAGAACACACTTCAATATAATGTGAAATGAGCATTACTACAATACAGTGCAAAATGAGACACACTACAATATTAAAGTGTGAAATGAGCCACAAAATAATATAGCGTAAAATGATTCACACTACAATGTAGTGTGAAATGAACCACACTACAATATAAAGTGAAATGAGCTATACTACAAATATTGTGCAATAAGCCACATCACAATATAGTGCAAAATGAGACACACTACAATATTAAAGTGTGAAATCAGCCACACAACAAAATAGCGTGAAATGATCCACATTATAATGTAGTGTTCAGTTCAGTGTAGTGTTCAGGATCCTCGCCGGTGCACTGTGCTGAGCCTCTTTGGACTCAGACTTGAGTTAGAAGAAGAACGGAGCACTTATGGGTTACTACCCGTGTGCCATGATGTTGATCCATCGTTCAAACTTCAAACTTTAATGTAATGTGAAATGAGCCACATTACAGTATAGTGTTAAATGATCAATACTATAATATAATGTGAAATAAGTCACTACGATACAGTGTGAAATGAGCAGATACACAATTAACTACATTTCATTTAGGCTGAGAAGAGTTCAGTGTAAACTTAAAAGCCTTATATATCACAAGTTTAGTATGGGAAATAGCCCTTATAAGTCAACAGTGTAAGATGGCAGTGTAGTATAATTGCAACCCGTTGTTTTAAATTCTGAGTATAATATTTTAACTTGAATGCCCTATCTGCTTGTTAATACCACAAACAAACAAAAACCTGTTATGTTCACAGAGTTAAGAATTAGCCCATATGCCCGGCTTACATTCTGCCCTTTGAATGCTTGAGATTCTGGACCCTAAACATTGGATTCCCAATAAGCCTGCAAGGCTGTCAAAAGTTTCAATCATTTTATAATACTCAATTTAAACTCAGAGTTTACCCTTTTAAAATGGAGCTTTCATGCTGCTTACTTGCTGTACTTATGTCAGGACATTATTTAGAAGAAAACATAGTAAACACACTACATATACCTAAGTCTATGACAGACTGACATAAAACAAATGTCACAGGCTCTGCAGTTCAACAGTGGAACACATTTCTGCACAAACACAAAGATATCAATACTTAAATAATCATAAGTTTTCTGAGCACTCTCGGTGCAGTTTATATGACTTCTGTGATTATAGAAAACACTCATTTACCATGTCTTCATGTTTTCAATCAACATAATTTTTTATATTACAACTTGGTCACTCAGCAATTGAATCTTGTCTACTTCTCCTTTGGTCTGAAAAAAGTACTGTTCAACACAATGATCACATTGTGAACTGCCATCTTGCTACAGCCATTTTGATCAGAAATATCATGTTCTGAGTTCCCTTCTCCACGCCGGTTACTATTTCAGTTCACTTTCTTGCAAACATAAAATCCTTAAAAAAATACCTTTAAAACAACCAAACAGCACCGAAAACAGCAACAGTTTATAATGTAAGCAAGATGCAACAGGCTGTAATAATTGCATTAAGTGTACCCTAAAATAGCAATACCCTGTAATAGGATGGAAATAATTATTTGCTAGATGGTCTTAAATTGCTGGCAATCACTGTTGAGACTGTCAGTGTGTTAACACTGTTCTAGTAGTGATTGTCAGCTAGTTTTTTCAGTGTTTTGTTAGAAAATATCAGCTTGTTAACTGTGTTATTTAGCTGTTCAATCCTCTACTAGTGACTGTCAGCTAGTTTTTTCAGTGTTTTGTTAGAAAATATCAGCTTGTTAACTGTGTTATTTAGCTGTTCAATCCTTTACTAGTGATTGTCAGCTAGTCTTTTTTTTTTTGAAGTGTCCTAGTAGTGAATATCAGTCTCCTCTACCAATAACCACTAGACAACATCAGCATGGTCTTACTGATGAATGTTAGCACATGTCTGCCCTTCTTCTTCTTCTTAAAGTCCATGTCGAATGGCACTGGTAGTCATGTCTATCCACAACCTTCTGTCTCGTGTACTTTCAATCACTTCTAACACAGATGATCTTCCATGCCATGATGTTAAACTGTTCAGCATCTGTTCTCTCAGTCTCCCTCTGCCTTTCTTCCCCTCCCACTTTCTCACCGTCACGATGTACTCCAGTTTTCTCTTTCTCATCACACAACCAAAAAATGTAGATTGTCTCTTTCTGATGTGGGCAATCAGTTCTCTTTGTGAGTCAGTTTCTTTCCAGACATCTTTATTAATCTTTTTATTAGTCCAGGGTCTTCTTATCATTCGCATACAAAAACCCCATCTCCACAGCTTTCAAATAAGTTTTCACTAATTTACAAACTGTCCATGAATTACATCCGTATATTAATATAGGATTTATATAACTTTTAAGAATTCTCTTTCTCATCTCAATTGACAAGAAGAAAGAATTATTCATCCTCTTCCAGTCTCATTAGCTTGAACATTTAGGCACAATGTTTCCAACTGTCCCTGTTCTAGCTGAGTTTGCCGTAGGCTGTGTGATATAGGATTCACTTCTGTTGACACCATCATGTTTGTTGACTACTCAGTTACTTCTAGTTTTGCCCGGAGATTCCGACTCAGGTTGTCAACTGTGCTTGAGATGTGGGATTCAGACTGAAACCAAAATAAAACTTTTCAGATGTGGGATTCAGACTGAAAACCATAAACAGTCTGACATGTCAACAGTGACAATTATATGTGAAATATTAATCATATTCAGTCTGGAAAACTGTGAACCCACCTTTGCTAACTACAAGAACTGCTCATTATGTAAACAACAAAGGGCCGGAAATATCAACCAATGAGGTTTTAAAAAAAATCTCATGAACTGATAAAAAAACTATAAATAAAGATTTTAGCACTCTGTAGAGAAAAATGTCCCTTACTTTGAAACGGATTAAACCCTGCTGACCCAAGAAGGCTAAACTGAGTGTCTTCCTGTTGTGACAGCTCCGTAAATGCAATTCATTGCCATTTCTGTAGTGACATGTTATCAAAAGCATAATTAAACGCCATTGGTTCTATGTGCACATGCGTAATGTTTAGGAGGCGCAGATGTGAATATATTAACTAAATGTAAAGGGGTTTCCTTGTCAATGCAAGAGCTTTTTTAAAGCTAGGTTGCTTAACCTCAGTATTAGAGGTCATAAGGTCACGGCATGAGTCACCTGATACAAGTATGTGTTAGGATCCAGGGAATGCATTCCATGTAATGCTTCACTCTGATCCTGTTTATTGAATCTCCCTTTATATATCTTTATTTCTTTCGGGAAAAAAGGTAGATAAATATATTTTAAAACAATTTATTAGCTACCTGTGTAAAATAGTTATCTTTAAAACTGTTTAAAAAAAAAAATTCTTATGGTTTCATGAGCCATTTATTTAGCATCCGCAGGGCAACAGAGTGAACAATAAATGAGATAAACAAAATGTTTTCAATATTTGCAACCTAAACATAGTTGTTTAATGATCACTTTAAAAGAAGTGTTGCAAGGTGAATGAAGCATTAGAAAAATACAGAAAAGTTATAAGAAATAAGGTGGAAAACATTGAAAGGACAAGGGTGAGCTGCATGCGATGGATGATCACAAAGGATGGGTTAATTTGGTTGTTGGCCTGTACTTCTTTTGTGGGACAAATGGCGGGGAAAAAAAGATAAACAGTATGAGGGGGGAGATGGAGAAAGCTACAAGAAATGGCAAAGGACATTGTGGCTTGATGTCAGCTGGCTGAAAAAAAAGGGGGGGGGGGGAGGTGGGAGACTAAACAAAAAAGAAGGAAAAGCACATGAAGCTTACAATATTTTGTCCCTGCTCAAGAAGATCTAAAATTTGACCTCACTACCCAGGACAGAAGAGGGGAAATGACATCATTAGGGCATAAACAATTGCAGGGATGAACACAACTGAGGACATCACTTACCTGGATGCCAGTATCTCGATGCCTGGTCTTGACGACACCATCCACCACTGTTATGTCTGTGACTATAACTGTGTATGGTATACCTAGCTGGTCATTTCTGACAGAAACAGAGTAAATATATCAGCAACAATGTCCAAGTGTGTTTTTATTATTCATAAGCCACAACAATTTGCCACTATTACACATTTTAGTCGTATGTTTAAAGCCCCCACTGAGAGGAATTGTCAAACTGATCTAGGTTCCCTGGGATGAATTCAAGAAAGGTTAAAAAATAGAAGAAATATCTGGACAACCGCTTGTATTAACAGTTACAGGAAAAAGAAGATGGTAATATACTGGACAAATCATAAGAAGTGGTTGGAGAATCATTACACAGCCGGTGAAATGGGAAACAAATGGACTGAGGTAATAAGGACGTCTAAGGGAAAGCCTAAGATAAACACCGTTTAGAGAGGCTGCTCGACTGGATTCCATCATATACAGAAAGGATTGAACAGGACAGAAGTGAACGTAGGACTAGACTGCAAACCATGTGTGATGCATAATGACACAACAGGATGAGGGTGGTAATGGGTTCCCAGGTGGTCAACCCAAAATAAAACTGGGCATCAGGAAAGTGTTCTGGGAAATAAAGGTGACTGGCAGGGTACATGGCATATTACTGATTGTCCGCTGGCCTATACAAATACAGCCTAGCACCATATCTCATCTGTGTGGGACACAATTGTTCACTATTTTAAAGCCCCACCCTGGCTATGATAGGGGCCTCTAATATAACCTAATGATCGAACAGAGCATCTGGGAATTTTGCTTAGGTGATCCTCATCTAAATGATGGCCCTTTTGTGTTACCGGGTGTTGGTTGTTGTATGGTCCTGGTGGGGTGGAACTACATACATACACATGTGTCTAATATAAATCAGGGGCAGGAATCAGCCCCTCTACTTTTTATTTATATACAAACACTGTGCTCTGTGGGAAGCTAGCTCTACACTAAAACCTGCACTTACTGGCCTACTGCTGATAGACATCACTGATCGTGCTTTTACAATACGTTCACAGTATTTAACATAAATTCTAACACTGACCAGATATAAAAACATTCTCCCCCCCTTTCATGCCATCAAAACAAATCAGTTATATGCTAATATATTTGGTTCTATTTTACACTTTATAATTGCAAACTATCATGGTAAGCTTAGTTGCCATCTTCTAAATCTTTCTGAGCCCCTGAATTTCATCAGTGCATGTATCACCACCTCCCTCCATTCATCTCTATGACTGGCCTTCTTTTTCCAGTTGGTGATTTCAGGTGTTTGTAGGCCTAATATTATTTTTCTATTGTCTTCTTGGTCTGCCTTGTGACATACTCCCATTCAGCTCTTTTACCTAGTTGTTATGATTATCTTAATAAAGTAGCAAAATAAAAAAAAATAAAAAAATAGTTTGTCAGCTTTTCAACAAGGAAAAGATCTACAGACGTGTAATCTGAATTGATTTATGACACAAAAAAATATAAAAAAATCATTCAATAAAATACGCAGTATTTCTTAGGTTGTAACAATGATTGATGCTAGGTAATAGAAATTCCACTGTGCTGAAAAAAAAAAAAAAAACAACAACAAAGGCTTCTGATGGTTCCTCTTTGCTAAATATGTAGGGCCCTTAAGCTTCCTAAAACTCTCTAGGCCAAACAGGGTCAGTCTCCTGGTTTCAACCTCCTACTGTGAGATGAAACTGCCTATTTATTAAAACATGTGTTCACTACTACTGCGCTACTAACTCACCTAACAGTGACCATCATTAACATACTTAAGAATGCTTTCTCAAGAACCACACTGCCTTCAGGGAGGTACACTTCACACCTCGATATCGCTTCAACTATTGCACCTTGGAATGAGTCAGCTTTCATCCAATTAATCAACACTGCCACCCTGTCTTCGGTTAACTATGTCTTGGGACAGACAACTCCTATCATGTTGCTTCTTTGATCCCCATTCATAGAAACTAATAGACCGAAGAAGCATCTAAAAAAAACCCCCCCCTAAGATCAATGCTGATTGGGGAGGCCAAATGTGCAAAGGTCAGGATACCATCCATATCAAGGCCTACTAGTTTGGTTTGAACAACGTTCAACATTCATGGCACACAGGTAGTAACCCATAAGTGCTCCATTCTACTTCTAACTCAAGCCTGAGTTCGAAGTTCTCAGCGCAGTGCACAAACTCTGTAGCAGCGGCGATAATCCTGAACTTCTTAGGGTAGATTTCTAACTCAAAATTTTAGCACGGGCAGCACCGTTAGGCTACTCTTTTCATTTTCCAAATGCTAAGAGATTTTTTGTACGTGCGCAACAATGCACACAAGCGTGCAGTGCAGTCTTACAATCTAGAGACCAGGGGAAATTACCAGAAGTTCAGGTGGAGAAAATCCCAGCCTTCACAGGGACCTGAACCTCCAGCACTTGAGGCAGATGCCATGACTCAAGACCATTCAGCCCCTATAATCCATATTAAAAAGACTTCACAGAACAGAACACAATGAAGAAATAATCGATGAGCCCCATGTGACACATAAATCACAAAACATGATAAGGGAATAACTTTCACTGACCTCTTCAAATGTGCCTCCACAGTACTGCCATGAAGCGACATATTAAATACAGAAATGCCCGCCTCCTGAAAGTCTTTCTCCAGCTGATCACAGATGTGACGCATCTCTAGAGATGATACAGGTGAAGCTGATGATGCTGCTGGTAAAGACATGACGATGGCAACCTGATAAGGAGCTATGTGAGGATGGAGCTGTAAAACCTATATGACAAAAGAAAAGACACACATTTTGTATAATATGAGTTGGTCATGAAGAGTATTTACCACCATGGAATTACCATTATCTTATGAATGTAAAACTGTTGTTCTGAAATATGCATAATGTATAAATACAGTGAGAAATGATTTGTCATCTGAGATGTGGTATTACAGGCTTAGAGTTAAATTGTAAGAAAACAGAAATTTATGGTCATCATCAAGAAGAAAAAAATACCACAGTGTTAAATATATACAAATGGCTACATTCTTAAGCAAGTTAATAGGTGAAACTATTTAGGAACAGTCATAACATCTGAGGCAAGATGCCTTGCAGAAATTAGAACAAGAATCGCCATGGCAAAGGTGGCCCTTTAACAAGATGCAAAAGATTCTCTTCAATAAGAAAATATCCCTTGCGGTGAGAACAAAAAAGTGTTAAAGTGTCATGTAGAATCTTTGTTGTTATGTGCATGTGAAACATTGAGCAGACAAGCTGAAAAACATTTACTCACGGCAGAGATGGGGTTTTTGAGAAGAAAGCAAAGAATATCATCAAGAATAGAAAAACAAATGAAACAAATGTCATCAAGACAGAAGAAAGTTGTAAACTTATTGGAACAACTAGATGTGGACAGTCAATATTTTTTGAACTACTAGAAGAAGGAATGGACTCACTAGCTTGGTAACAACTGGCAAGATTGATGGAAAGAGATCGAGCGGAAGGCAAAGAGATAAATACCCGGATGGCCTGGCTGGATGAATGAAGTGGGACAAAAACATGATTATGGTGATTGTGTGAGATAGCGAAACATGAAAGCCTACGCCTACCTACCTGCACAGCACCTGATGATGATTACAGGAAAAAATTTCAAGGAGCAGCTTGACTAAACATTTGGTGAATTAAAAAGACAGACTTTTATAACAGAACAAAGAAAACTCTAACAAAAAATTGCTATAACAGAATAGAGAGAGTTCCTACCATGTAATAATGAAAACAAACCTTTTACACCGAAAGAAAATAATAATAATAAAACTTCTATAAAAGAAGATTTCTTAAAGTTACCAAAAGCAAAGGCTAAAATGTCGTCCTAAGACATGAAGAAGCATTAAAGAAATCATCTGAGGGCTCAATTGGGTAAACATTTAAACAAGCTTACACGGATATAAAGCCAGTGGCACAGGATGGGCTAATATGTAATGGAAGATAAGGAAGCTTCAAACTACGCCAAGGGGCTCCTGTTCCTAGTGCTGATCGAATGTACTTTTCAAAAACAAACTCTGCGCAAGTTCTGGCGGAATATAGTTCATAAACCTCCTTTTTTACAGTGTTGGTGTAATGTACTTTTCATAAACCTCCTTTTTTACAGTGTTGGTGTAATGTACTTTTCATAAACCTCCTTTTTTTACAGTGTTGGTGTAATGTACTTTTCATAAACCTCCTTTTTTACAGTGTTGGTGTAATGTACTTTTCATAAACCTCCTTTTTTTACAGAGTTGGTGTAATGTACTTTTCATAAACCTCCTTTTTTACAGTGTTGGTGTAATGTACTTTTCATAAACCTCCTATTACATAGTGCTGATAAAATGTACACTTCGTAAACCATGTTTTTCTTCATGGCTGGTGGAATGTACTGTTGAAAAACCTCCTGTACCCTAGTAGCTGTGGAATGTACTGACATCAACCCTTTTACCTCTAGTACTTGCAGAAAATACTGTTAATAAACCACCCCTGCATTAGATAGATGCTTGCCTTCTGCATTTTTTTTAACTGACCTAAGGCTCTTATGTTGACAAAACCTAAATATGGTTCCAGGAAAAAAATGTGGAAGTAAAGGGGGTCAGCATGATTCTGAACATAGTATCCAATAATTGCCAGCTGGTATATAAAAATATGGGCCTAGCAACATATGCCAGATGCTCCAATGGTATCAAAACCCTCTCTTCCTTAAAAAAGAACAAAAGCTATATGCACTTAAACACACATACATTAATATTTAAATCCATCTAAACAATATGGTTCTAACAATTTCAGGATCCTCTCCATTTCCGCAGAGGACAGTTTATTTAAAAAAAAAAAAAAACACAACGCTGGTCTCATAGTTTATGGACAAGGCTATAAGAGTGACTCCATGGAAGAGATTAGGGCCTCACCACATAATATTGGCAAAGATAGCACTGAGTTCTCTGTAGTCAACCTTCATTGTGGAGATGATATATTAATATTTGGTTTGTCTCAAACAACATGGTGCTTAAGTATACCAGTGAACGTACAGAGCTTGTTCTGAGACTCTCCTGTTTTCTAGCTTCAGAAAACGACCGTCTCTCGTGAAAGCTGTCGATCAGCCAGGCTGCAGTTGCTGCTTCGATGTTGCTGCTGCATTCAATACAGTGAGGTAGACAACTCTTGTTTCCTGCAGTTTTGCCCTGGCAGACAGTAATAAAACTGCAATGTAGCAACACAGGTTTTGAAAATCATGGAGCGGTATAAGTGACATATTTGCCAGAAGCTGATTTAAAAATTATACATACATACACGCAAACACAATAATATATATGTGCATGCATCAAAAACAAATACCAGACACCCTCCCCCCCCCCAAAAAAAAACCCTGACAGTTTTGGTAGAGTCAAACAAAGACCTTTGCCTGAAGGAAAGGAAGAAAGTAACACCACTTGTATCATGAACCAGAAGGTCTCACCATACAATTCTAACCAATGTACTAGTGATTAAATGAGACTGGCTTCCAGGCTGACATGGTCTACAAATGAGTACCAGGTGAAGTCCTGGGAAATCTTCTTCTTTGTTCAATGGCTTTAAGTTCCAGCAGAAAGTACTGGTTGTTCATCCATTTGGACTTTGACTTTGTGCCAGGGCCAATGTTATGCACGTACATCCTTTTTACTGGCTTATTTGTTGGCAGATGGCTGTTCCTTGCCACTCGGCAGATGCACTCTGACTTCGAAGGAAGTCCACAATTAGTCGACTCCTATGGCATGCTTATTGGGGAGGCAGTCGATCTGTTCTTTTTGTCCTCACAATGGGGTCCGGGAACCCGCATGGGGATCTATCCTACTAATTCTAGAAGACTTAATTGCAAAATAAAATCAATTTTGAAAAAAAAAAAAGGTTAATTTATTCTTGTTCAAACTATTCAGAATGTTAAATGGATACAGAATTCAAAAATACCAATACAGAGTTCGTGAAATGCCTAAAATTGGAGTTGTTAAAGAACTTTACCTACTTCCTAGGAAAAAAAGCATGTTGTGAGAGTCAACTGCCTTGGCCAGCAGCACTTACAGCAGTGTGAAGTATTAGTGTTAGGCACACTGCCTTGGCCAGCAGCACTTACAGCAGTGTAAAGTATTAGTGTTAGGCACACTGCCTTGGCCAGCAGTACTTACAACAGTGTGAAGTATTAGTGTTAGGCACACTGCCTTGGCCAGCAGCACTTACAACAGTGTGAAGTATTAGTGTTAGGCACACTGCCTTGGCCAGCAGCTCTTACAGAAGTGTGAAGTATTAGTGTTAGGCACACTGCCTTGGCCAGCAGCACTTACAGCAGTGTGAAGTATTAGTGTTAGGCACACTGCCTTGGCCAGCAGCTCTTACAACAGTGTGAAGTATTAGTGTTAGGCACACTGCCTTGGCCAGCAGCTCTTACAGCAGTGTGAAGTATTAGTGTTAGGCACACTGCCTTGGCCAGCAGCTCTTACAACAGTGTGAAGTATTAGTGTTAGGCACACTGCCTTGGCCAGCAGCACTTACAGCAGTGTGAAGTATTAGTGTTAGGCACACTGCCTTGGCCAGCAGCTCTTACAGCAGTGTGAAGTATTAGTGTTAGGCACACTGCCTTGGCCAGCAGCACTTACAGAAGTGTGAAGTATTAGTGTTAGGCACACTGCCTTGGCCAGCAGCACTTACAGCAGTGTGAAGTATTAGTGTTAGGCACACTGCCTTGGCCAGCAGCTCTTACAACAGTGTGAAGTATTAGTGTTAGGCACACTGCCTTGGCCAGCAGCACTTACAGCAGTGTGAAGTATTAGTGTTAGGCACACTTCCTTGGCAAGCAGCACTTACAGCAGTGTGAAGTATTAGTGTTAGGCACACTGCCTTGGCCAGCAGTACTTACAGCAGTGTGAAGTATTAGTGTTAGGCACACTGCCCCGGCCAGCAGCACTTACAGCAGTGTGAAGTATTAATGTTAGGCACACTGCCCTGGCCAGCAGCACTTACAGCAGTGTGAAGTTTTAGTGTTAAGTACACTGCCTTGGCCAGCAGCACTTACAGCAGTGTGAAGTATTAGTGTTAGGCACACTGCCCCGGCCAGCAGCACTTACAGCAGTGTGAAGTATTAATGTTAGGCACACTGCCTTGGCCAGCAGCTCTTACAGCAGTGTGAAGTATTAGTGTTAGGCACACTGCCCCGGCCAGCAGCACTTACAGCAGTGTGAAGTATTAATGTTAGGCACACTGCCCTGGCCAGCAGCACTTACAGCAGTGCGAAGTTTTAGTGTTAAGTACACTGCCTTGGCCAGCTGCATGTGAAGAAAAATAATGTACAGCAATTATTAATGGCCTGTTAATAATGTCATCTTCATGATTTTAGCTTGTCTCACCTTGTAACTCTGGTCACCATCTTTGTGTAATTTTGCTAGGAGCTTGTCTCCCAAGTTTGTGACTTCCTCTACTGGTTCCGGGCCCCATGGAAAGTCATATGTTATATACATTTTGTAAGGAGATTGACTGTTTGATTTACTTGCATCTGTGCTTGCTAGACAATCTCCCGACTCACCACTGCTGCTGGATGTCACTGAAAAATTGGCTGGGTGTCTGGAAAACTGCCACAGAAAATAGAAAGAAATAATAATGACAAATAAGGCAGAAAATGTTACTGATTACTTATTTCACCGAGCACTGTCTATTTATCGCGTTGAAGCCTTCGTTTCCAAGCCTATACTGCACCAAAACAAACCTATCTTCATACTTATCTACCACCCTCACAACATCTGTGCCCAAAATATTCTGCTAAGGCACCTATCCATCCTTAGGGCTGACCCTGCCAAAATACGATTTTCTCTGAACTTCCTCTAGTGGCCTACAGACGATCGTAACCTCAAGAACATTCTAGTTGGTTACGTACTGCGTCTGAGTCCCATTCGACACAGTCACAGTCTTTTGCCACAGACCTGCATGTAGGACCTATCCATGCGCAGTTCAGGGGACAAGTCTGGAATTCCTGAATGCCACCTTCCACATATGTGAAGCATTCTAGTGCATAAGTTGCAAAGCCATTTATGCTATCAACTGCAAAAGATGTGGCATGAAATATATCAATGAAAAATCAGACAAAATCTTTTGGATGTGCATAATGGTGCCCTGAAACCATTACCGTTGAACTTTAATTCCCAGGATCACCAAGGTGTCCATGACAGCCATTAAATCAAGCCACTCCAGCAACAGTTTCGGCAAGTGTCTTGAAAATCACTTTATTTTCACCTTGGGCACCCTAACACCCAGGGGAATGAACTGTCAACACAGTTTTATCAAAGATTCTTGAGTTACGCCCTTGGCATTCCCCGACTATTTATTCTCGTGCCCAAAGTTCCATTAGCAAGACATCAATGTGGCTGCTTCGGGATATGTCAGTTAAGTTGATTTTGGGTATTCGTGTGGTTTTGTTTGATTTATGCATGTGTCGATGAAGGCTCTATAGCTGCAATGTTCACTTTTTGTTTGTGTTAAGTTATATTGTGAAGCTTGCTGATCTACTTCTGGGTCAGTTTGATATCTTTCCATTTTATTTCATAACTTACTTGTTCATAGCATACTTACAGATGCTCCATCACCCACTGTAAATGTTATAGGTTGTAGATACTGATTTGGTTGAAAGATATGACAGATAAATAGTCTAAAAGCCAAAGGAACAAAGTTGCAAGTCAATTTATTGAATAAGCTAACTCTTAATAGTTGGTTCCTATCAGGCTGGTTTGGCAGCTGTAGGTATGAATCCCAATCAAGATGGATTAAAAAATAAAAAAAAATAACCTGACCTGTCCGATTGAACTGGTCTAAAACAGGTACCAGTAAATAACCAGGGAAAAAGATAGATGGCATCAAACTATAAACATATTGGATTAGCAAAATATGCCCAATATGATTTAAAGTATAGAACTCTGTCCTGTAGTGTTTACGTAGAACTCTGTCCTGTAGTGTTTACGTAGAACTCTGTCCTGTAGTATTTACGTAGAACTCTGTCCTGTAGTGTTTACGTAGAACTCTGTCCTGTAGTATTTACGTAGAACTCTGTCCTGTAGTGTTTACGTAGAACTCTGTCCTGTAGTGTTTACGTAGAACTCTGTCCTGTAGTGTTCACGTAAAACTCTGTCCTGTAGTGTTTACGTAGAACTCTGTCCTGTAGTGTTTATGTAGAACTCTGTCCTGTAGTGTTTATGTAGAACTCTGTCCTGTAGTGTTTACGTAGAACTCTGTCCTGTAGTGTTTATGTAGAACTCTGTCATGTAGTGTTTACGTAGAACTCTGTCCTGTAGTGTTTATGTAGAACTCTGTCCTGTAGTGTTTACGTAGAACTCTGTCCTGTAGTATTTGCGTAGAACTCTGTCCTGTAGTGTTTACGTAGAACTCTGTCCTGTAGTGTTTACGTAGAACTCTGTCCTGTAGTGTTTGCGTAGAACTCTGTCCTGTAGTGTTCACGTAGAACTCTGTCCTGTAGTGTTTATGTAGAACTCTGTCCTGTAGTGTTTACTTCTGCTTATCACGCAAAACTCTGTCCTGTAGTGTTTGCGTAGAACTCTGTCCTGTAGTGTTTATGTAGAACTCTGTCCTGTAGTGTTTATGTAGAACTCTGTCCTGTAGTGTTTACTTCTGCTTATCACGCAAAACTCTGTCCTGTAGTGTTTGCGTAGAACTCTGTCCTGTAGTGTTTATGTAGAACTCTGTCCTGTAGTGTTTACTTCTGCTTATTACGCAAAACTCTGTCCTGTAGTGTTTACTTCTGCTTATCACGCAAAACTCTGTCCTATAGTGTTTACTTCTACTCATCAGTATACAGTGAAGTTCTGTGTTGATAATCTTTCTCCAGACTTTTCCCCCACAGCTTATTCATATTCTAAATGAAGTCACAATTACTTTTGATCTTAATTATTTGTTTTCACCAGCTTCCACATTTTCCTGGCCATTCCCCCTATTTTCTGAAAGATTACATGAAAACCTATGCAAATAAGTGTTAATGTGAACTTTCTGCCATGCAAGCACTGCTGACTTAAATATGCTGACATTACTGTCAATAATGGAATGATAAAAGGCTTGCAAACCTTCTTCCACCATGACAGCCTGAGCTGAAGCCAGTAATCAAAGACAGCACTGACCCCAGTTGGAGGTATATAGTTCTGTAACAACACTCTGGATACATTTGAGCATCTGCAAGAAGTTACCAAAAAGTTAGATAACTTAGCCACTTTGAAATTTCCTGTCCTTAAAAAAAAATTATGTAACTAAATATCATTCAACCAATGGGAAAACTAAATTATACAGTGGTATTTATATACTATCAGTGCCAAACGCAGACACTTACATCCTCCAATGAACATAAAATTGTAACAACAGAGATGAAATACCTTAGAAGAGCCACATGAGTTTCAAGGAAAGACATAATACAAAATTACGAAACCAGAAGAATGCTAGGAATAAAGCCAATCTTACAGGTTATCAAAGAACAACAAATGAAGTGGTTTGGACACCTAACAAGAATGCCCTGGTACAATCTGCCACAGCGAGCCAAACTAAAACGTTACAACAGGTATAGAATGAGTGGAAGACCTCGGAAAATATGGAGTGAGGCCATTAAGAACAGCCTTACAGAAATGAACATCAGTCCTAATAGTGCTCTTGACAGAGATCATCAATGAATGTTACATTTCCCCTCGACACTTCGATGAGGTACAGGAGAAGATTTATATGGAAAATGGCACTGAATGGTAAACTGAAATAACCAGGCAATGATATTTTTGTTAAACTGAAACACTGTAGCAGTGTAGGTAAAGGACATATTTTAATGTCTTGAGATGTACTGACCATACGATGAGTTCCTTATTTTTATAGAACAATCAATACTTCTTGAAAATCAGATGAATATCCTCTTCTTTATCATTTGTCCAAGGAAAGCAAATGTGCTGTGCCTGTTTACAGCACAGCTGTAATACCTTCAGGCCGGCAGATCAAACTTCATCAGGCATTTGTTGTCAGGGTTAGCCTTCCTGACTATGTGGTGACTATCACACCAGGCCAGCCACATATACCTTCAAGAGCTTTTTCATCTTCCCTTTATCCCCAGTGGAGCATGGGTCCCAACCAACTAATGCCAAGTCACCTTATTCTTTGCTATTGCATGTAGCTCACCCCATGTCATCTCCATCTTTTTAACTTCACTCTCTAGCTCCCTTGTAATGTGTTTCTTCATCTGCCTTTATTTCTATGTCCATGTGGGTTCCAGTACAAAGAAATTCTAGTTACACTATTCTAAAATTTTCTGATTAACTGGAATTTCTTTTAATTTTTTCCCAAAGCTCAATATCAGTGATTCAATCAGTTTAATCCCAATTTTTAAGCTGGGTCAAACTGCCAGGCCAGAACAAAAGTCAAAATATGGTTCCAACAACTTACCCAAAGAGCAGAACTTTCTCTTCTGGTTCATCAGCCTGCACCTCCCTCCAGGACAAGCAGGAGCCAGTGCTGACTATAGAAATAGGCAGTCTCCCATTGGTCATTTTTAGCACTTGCAAATATTTTGAAACACAGTCTAAATTTGTGTGTGTGAAAAGAGAATATATGAAATAAGTTGAAATGTAAAAGAGAAATCAGACAGACTTTAATAACAAAAAAAAACAAAAAAAAAAAGACAAATTTACATTTGAGAACATAACATGTAAAACACAAATCTCATGGTTTGGGAATATGAACTGTAAAACCACAAATGCAAAAAGTCTGACAATACAGAAATCTATCTATTGTCTTCTTCACTTTTACCGGGTTGCAGCCCAGTGTCGTGGTTTAAAATATTTGTTTTGTGCCTCTCGCGTGATTTGAGTGACAGTTTCCTGGATCTTCTGGCCGTATTCAGCTACTCCATCTATCCATTTTTTCCTGGGTCTTCCTCTGGCCTTTCTTCCCGATGTTCTATTGTAAAAGGCCTTATAGGCAATCTGATCCGGTTGCATTCTTACTAAATGACCAAGCCACTTCATTCTCTGTCTTTCAATATGTTCCATGCATGCTCTTGTTCCAACTTTGTCTCTAATGCTGAGGTTTGTGACTCTGTCTCTTCGTGTATTGTTGGTGACTCTTCAGAGACATCGCATTTCACACGTAGTTATTTTTTGCATATGTGATTTGTTCATTGTCCACGTTTGGCACTGATAACATAACATAGGGATGAAAATGCTGTTGATCATCTGTTGTTTGGCTGGTAACGAGATCTTTGGATGACGAAGAAGTGGGGCCAGTTGGTAGTTGACTGCATTGGCTTTTTGAACTCTAGCCTGTATCTCTTTATCGAGTCTTCCATCTTCTGTAAATATGCATCCTAAGTACTTGAATTCTTGAACTTGTTCTAATTATATGTCATTGATCTTTATGTTTACATTACTGTGTTTCTTTCCTATGGTCATTACTTCAGTTTTTAGGTGTTTATTTTCCTGTCAAATTTCGTAGTTAGTGAGCAATGAATCAACATGTTGTTGTAGTTTTTGTTCTTCTTCTTGTAACAAACATTGGTCATCTGCAAAGAGAAGTTCATTTATAATATCTGTGTTTTGGTTTGACTCCTGTGCAATTTTATCCATATATGTGATGAAGAGTAAATACAGAAATAAAAAAGCAAATTATTCTTGTCCTCCCAGTGTAGATTCTCAAGGCTCCATTTTGGGGAAAAAAAAAGAACTGACTCACTGCCTTCCTAATAAGCATGTCACAAAAGATGACTAATTAGGGGAGCTTCCTTCAATGTCAGAGTGCATCTGTATGAGAAGAGGCAAAGAACCAACAGTCGGCATACAAATAAGCCACATCTGTAAAACAGGTGCAGGCACAATTCAATTCTGGAACAAAATCAAAGTTCAGAAATGAATGAATAAACATAACTTTCTGCCAGAATATACATATGTTGAATGCTTTGAAGTATATAATACTAGTCTCCCTATAAATTTGTGTAGACAACTGGCATATGAGGGATAATGTGGTGGAACTGGCTGTATTTACTTCCTAGCACGCCGGATAACAAATGTTTTCATCCGCCTTAAGTGGGATTTGAAGATAAGTCCCTTTAGGCTAGCATTCAAGCCACTACATTTAGTTCCCTTGATAAAACATACTGGAGCAATTTAAAAAAAAAAAAAATTAGAACAACAAGAATCAAACAGACATTTGAGAAAAATCATGGAAGAATATGAAGTTTAAAGCTACACTTGTTACAAAGGAGGAAACATCAGCTAAAGATATATATATATATATATATATATATATATATATATATATATATATATATATATATATATATATATATATATATATATATATATATATATATATATATATATATATATATATATATATATATATATATAATATATATATATATATATATATATATTAAATAGGCAAAAACTGTGTAGACAAATACAAGTTAAAATGCAATAACTCTACCTGGGTAACAATATCTATAAATAAAAGATATAATGTCAAGGTCATGCACTGTAAACTCATAATATATCCGAATGAAAAACAAAGTCAAATCGGCAAACATATGAAGTACACACAAATCACATCCGCCCCGCCCCCTTTCCACCCCCAGTGTCCAAAATATGAAACACGCAGAAAATGCTTTTGGTCTATCATCATCATCACCAACAATCAGCTTGACCTTTACAGAACGTCCCTCTCTTCATGGCACATGTCTAAAAGTCTCTCTTTCTCTATCCAAATCTCCAGCCCTGTGTGCTTTCATAGCCAATGCATTTTCAAGGTCCTGTATCCACCTTTGTGGAGATTGGCCTCTGTCTGGTTTTCTGCAAACTGCATCCTCCATCATTGTTCTCCCCAGACCACCATTTAGTCTATGTCAAGTCCAATTTAAGACAAACACTATGGAAAAATCAAACATGATGTTGGCTGTTTAAAAAAAAAAATACAGACTGTCATCAAAAGATTGAAAAAGTAAAGGTCTGGCTGATAATTGTTTCTTTTTTGTCAATAAAAAATATATTGAAAGCAAAAACAGCAAACAAAATTCGTCATATAAATACAAATAAAAACTAGCACATATATCACTGCAATCAGCTTTATTTGTCTCAGAAAGCAGAGCACACTCAGTGTAGCTATTAAGTCTGACTTAACTATATATTCTTAGAAGGTTGAATTAGCTATATAAGTACGTTTTACCCCACTAGTACATCATACAAAGCGACAAACACCCGGTGACACAAAGTGCCATCTTTTGGATGAGGATCACCAGTGTAGAGGTCCCAGAAACCCCATTCAACCCCTATATAAGGGCCCCCGGCACAGCCAGGGTGGGGCTTCAAAATAACGAAAAATTTGCATCCCACAAGGGGATGGCAAATACAGCTGTTGTTGAATTAGCTATATAGGATTTGTCCTGTTGGACTAAGATTCAAGATGTGACTCATCAAGTTGCTGTGGTGTCAAACCTTTGGGTAGCATCATCACCATCCTATAACATTACGTGTTGTTGGGTCACCAGTTTCTGTTGACTGTCTGATCAGCTCTCTCCACCTTTGGCGGTCAGTTGCAATGGACTTCATGGTTGCATGCCTGAGGCCTGTCCAGTCAGTCAGGTTCTGTAACCTGGGTAGCAACCAGAGGAAAAAACCCAGTCGTAGTACTGTAAATGGAGAGGGTTAAATGCTGTAGCTAAAATAAAAGTCATAGCAAATTTAAATTAGTCATCAAAAGATACTTATCTGGCATGCATACCTTGCTGTAAACTGTCTCGATAGTTGATCTCCCCTGGTTCTGGCAGACAACTGAAAGGGCACAAACTCGACATTTACAAATCCACAGAATTTATATCTGCTCTGTATATTCTTCTTTAAAAATATTATGCTACCAATCCATAAACGACCTTACAAATTTTGATTTAATTCAATCATATTTAAGTTAACACCTAATTCACAAATAAGCTCATGGAAACATTGGCAAGTTCAGTGAGCAAAAGGAGAGGAAAAAACAAATGTGCTACTGCTACATAATCAGTTAACAACACAATCCGACAATCCCTCATCTGTTACTTAGAAGGAAAAATAAATAGAAGGATCCCAAATAATAGCCCCCCCCCCCCCCCCCCCCAAAAAAAAAAAAAAAAATAAAGAAGAGTAGAATTGGAAAGTACTAAAGGTATTGCCATCTGGATGTGTCCTTACCTAATCTAGGCAGTAGCATAAGAGAGTAGGTGGTCAGTTCTCAACCTCATGACATTTCTTCCCCAGGACAATTCCTCGAAGGTTATGAAAATTGCCTGGTACCCAGTATGCGTTTCTCAACTGATCCTAGAGCTGTACTTATGGTAAAAAAAAAAGGAATGAACTGGATGGGATCAATATCTTCATAGGCAAGCACACACATTACTGATTGACGGACTGACTTTCTACCCCAATAGGACATCACACAAGCGATAAACACCCGATGACACAAAGTGCCACCATGCGGATGAGGATCGCTGTGGAGAGGTCCCAGAAATCGCGTTCAGACAATTGGCCATATATATGGCCTGCCTATATTGCGGCCCCTGGCAAAAGCCAGGGTGGGGCTTCAAATGACAAAAAATTTCGTCCTAAAAAGGACAAAACTTGATAATAATCGTATAACACACATTATAATGAAATGTCGCTATCAACAGTCCTAAAAGACAACCAAAGAAGGCTTGTCATTTGATGCATATGAGCGTATGCTCCACTGAAGATTTAAATATAGATATGATCTTTGTAAACATCGACTTATTCTTCTTCTTAAAAGTATGTGCAGTATGACATTGATGGTCATGTCTACAAACAGCATTCTGTCTCAAGTACTTTCAATCATTTCTGGCAAAGGATCTTCAATTCTATGAAGTCAACAAACTGTCCAGCCTCTTCTCTCTTTGTCTTCCACTGCCTCTTTCCTCTCCAACTTTCCTGCCATCATGTTCTGAAAAATTTTAACTTGGTTATAAATTCTTATAGCTGCTTCTTGTAGCCAGTATATGTTTTTATTATTCTCACATCTTTACAATAAATGTTTAAGAAAGGTTCCAAGAATTCTAATAATTTCTTAATATTTTACTTTACTGAAGGCTTTAGTGTAATCAACAAAGCAGAAATATAGATCTCTATTCATGTCAATCATTCTTTCTGTAAGTGTTCTCAAGATAAATATGGTGTTGTCTGTGCCTTTGCCTTCAACACAAACACACTGATCATCTTCAATTTCTGATTTAATTTTGCACCTCATTCTTCTCATAATTCTCATTCATATTTGAGTTACATGCTCAGTAAACTAACGGTCCAAGTCCTCCACAATCCACTGCACCAGGTGTTTTTGGTAAAGGTATGAAGAGATATTTCAAAAAGTCACCATGTATATATCATATCCCCTGTTATAAATATCATTCAATAATTTTGTCAACACTTCTAAACCCAGATCACCAACAGCTTTTAATCTTCAATACTAATGTACCAAGAAGGCTAACCCGGTCAACAAATGCCCGCAGAAGTCGGATGTGTTGGCCGAAAGGTGCAAATATCGCAGCCATGCTGTAAACGGACACAACGCAATTACATCTTCGGATGAACGCAGAAGAAGAAGAAGAATACTGATGTTATCTGACCCTGGAGATTTACATACATCTAAACTTAAAGGCAAGATGAGTAGTCACCCAGGTGATGACAGGTACCACCAGTATAAAGACTCTGCACTGGCTGTTAAGGACATAGATGGAACGACAGTCTATTTTCTAATTCACGCTGTTGTTTTTTTAGATAATTTCTTGGTAACTTCTTATTCTGGGAACATGATTTTTGTTTTTGCATGGGCTCCTATTTTTATCTCAGTGTTAATGTTATATACATAAATAATATTTAGACTGCCCAGTTTTATTTAAACAGTCAATTTCTTTGTTATTTTCATCACCTATATAATTTTAGCTAGGTAAGAGAACAAATTTTACAGTACAGACGTGAAAAGAGACGTGGTATAGTCATGGTCTTATTCAGAATTTATTTAAAACACGTCTTTTTGTGATAGGCTGATTGGTTACAGTTGAACTTTGTGCTGTATAACTCTTAAAAGGCAGTCCAGCAAGGATCCTCAAGTATTTAAATACCTCAGATAATCAAAAATACATTCTAATTACTTGTTATGCTTATGAAAAGTCTGACACAATGTTGAGAATGAAGTTAATATTAACATATAATTTAATCCATTTATATTCCACTACAGCTAAGATATAATTGTTTGAACATCAACACACATTTCTAAATGCACTATAATACGGGCTGGTCCTGAATGCTGTGATGTTTAACCTTTACCCAGATAAACATTAATTCTCCAACAGACAGAAAACTATACACAGAGAAGCAAAGGTAGGTCTCTACAACTAGTGTCATAGGTGGATGAAATCTTTTGGATTTCCCATCTAAAAATGTCCTAAACATACCATAGATTTTCCTATACATTTACTGCAAACTGCGAAAAGAATCTAGGCTTTCAAATATATCCACTGCAGATTTGCAAGGAAGGGTGTAATTTTAATTTTAAAAGTACAACTAATAAAAATCTGGAGTGAAGGACCCATGTTTTTGAATATTCAAATCTGAAGAAAAAAAAAATGCCTTCCTATGCCATGCTTATCACTGGCATCAAACAAATGCTGTGGCCTGAGACAGTCACACGGTGTGGCAAGATTAAACCTTTGTGATCACGGTCCCTAGTGAGCTTGTAAAACAGTCAAGTCTGACACAGCTGCTGAACACCATACCTCCATTGTTTTGGTTGAGTGAACTATAATGTTCTCTTGTAAAAATTTTTTTTTTAATTGGCTTCTAATTCAGCGTCTACTGGGATTTATTCTACGCCACTAGATTGCAAATATCTACCTAAATTTGACGAAAACATTAGTGCCCTAAATGCAAAGCACCTTATGAGGTATTTTGTTTACATCTTTTAACATAGCAATACCATAGTTTGTTTCACAGCCACTACCTACTCTCATGTCAGCAATAAAATAGCCTTACAGGGGTCAACTTATTATTACTGTTTTTATCTAGCTGACAGTCTCATAACAGTGAAACAATAAATGTGGTGTCTAGAATAATATACTTTACTAACTGTCCTTGATTTATCACTTTTAGTGTGTAATGCTTACTAGATTGCTCGATAAGTACCAGTTAGTTTATACAATAAAAAAGGTCTACTCCATATGCTGGTACTCATAAAAAAGGTCCTTTATTTTACTATTCAACTTGACTGTGTGACCGTACTTCTTATATATACATTCACTCATTAAAAAAATATATAATTTTTTTTCTGTTTCTTACAAGGTAAGTATGTTTGGCTTATGTAGAGGTTATTCACTATTAATTTTATTGTTAGCATTCTTCTTCCAACAGGGCAGTTTTTGTGCCCTTTAAGAAATGGAACAACTAAACATTACCTAGAAGCAGAAGCCTCTAAATTTGGAGATGGCAGAAACACTGAGCTTTCAACAGGAAAAACATTGCTTTGTTGAAGAACCATGACTTTCCACCTGTGAAACACAAAGAAAAACCACCTAGTCACAAAAAGTTCTGTTGTATGTCAACACTCTACATAAACATCCAAGACAAAGGAAATTGTGAAAGTGTAACACAACCGAGATAAGCGATACAAAACAACTGGCAATACCTGATCAGAGACAAGATGTGGCATGGATTTCTTTTTCTTTTAGTTCTCTGGCTGTAAACTTTGCAAAGTCCTGGTTGTTCATTAACTTCTGGTTTTTATACCAGGACTTGAGTGTTGCAAGCACATTTGTTTCATATATTTGACTTATTTGTATGAAGACAATTTCTTGTTTCTCAGACAGATGCACAGCGACTTCAAAGGAAACCTTAATCCTATCTACACTGAGCAGGCTCCTCTGTGGGAATTGTTTCTAGGACGTCCGCCAAGATGTCTAGACAGGTGCTGGCCAGTATGAGCCCTGGTCCTGATGCACTACCACATGTGGTTCAGCAACTCTGCATCCTGACAGATTTCAATTTTAACATCGCAAGTCATATTTTTTAATAATCCATCATGCCCAATTTGTCACCTTACCTGCTTCTGACCTTCATGACAAGAATGCTTGATAAATGTAAACACTTTACACAAACACCATAGACTAAGGGCATTGTGGAACAGTAGCATGTTGGTACCAATGGAAATGGAACTCTGCACTTGCTGCTGAAGATGGGACAGAGCACTTATGGGAATGTCCTGAGTGCTTTCATGTCAATTCTTAATTAAACATAAAACAGTAGCATAACCGACAAGCAATGCACTACAAATTAGGAGTCGCCGTGGCGTAGCTCGCGTGCGGATCGCAAGGTCGTGGGTCCCCTCCTTGGCTAAGCTGGACTTTTTTCAAAAATGACCTTGACTCCCAGGTCGACCTAGCTTCAGGGAGTACCAGGTGCAGTCCCGGGAAGTAAAGGCGGCCAGCGTGATGCTGACCACATCACCCATTTTGTGCCGATTGGTCTATAAAAATATAGGTCTAGCCCTATATGCCTAAAGGCTTTGAACAGGGGACCTTTACTTTTACTTTTAATACACTACAAATGGACAACAGCTGGTTAGAGATATGATGTGACAATAACCTAAACTCTGACACCTCAAGTCAAATTTGACAATAATCCAACCAGCTACAATTTATAACTTTAGTTGCATCTAACATAGATAGTTACCCACTCAGTTGATTAAAAAAAAGGTCACTGGTTTATCTCTTTTTTTTTCCATTCATATATTGACCACATAACATACACTAGGATAAAAAAAAATTATAAAAGTAAATGATTATGAGTATGAAGATGGCTGATGACTCTGAATCAAGTTTCGAAAGGTTCTGAGCACGGTGGATAACAGATGGAAGAGACTAAAAGTGGAGCTTGCTTCACGGTTCCTTCTACCCTGCCTCTTTCTCTCTGCTAGTGTAACCTCTGCAAGCCAACACACCATGTTTGAGGACACCCTCCAGACTGTCTTGTGCAACAGCCTTATGTTTTTGTGTTCACGCAGACAGACTGAAGGTATTTTTTTAAACGTCCCTTATGTGTTTTTTTGGGTTCTTTCCCATTAGCTGACCGCATATGACATCACGGGACAGTACAATATACTCGAGGGTGGTAAGACCGGGTTTCCCACTTATCTGTCTGTGTTTTTTGTTTCCCGGTTTTCTGTGTGTCTTAATAGGGTTGCCAGGTTTTTTTGTACGTTTCTTCTTCTGCTGGCATCTCTCCAGCGGCTTGTGTTCAGTCTTCATTGGCATGAATTTCCTTGAATTAGCAGCCTTGGAGCTTGACAAGAAAAGCAGCATTGCTTTTCTGCAACATCATGGCATTCTGCATAGTACCAGACGTTGTGGCAACTCCAGCGATGTTGTTATCATTGACCAAAAGCCATGATTGATGGTGGCGGGGAAAATCAACCTATCGTCTGAACATACCGTTAAGGCAAGGAACATTGTTGGAAGGGTTGCGCCTGCCTTAAAATCAGATCATTCTGTTTCTGTACTACTAGTCTCATGAGTTAACAAGCATTGAATTTTGTCAAGTAGATCTTGGATTGTCGAAAAATATAACTGTGGAGTGGAGCAACTACTTACACGAGGTTTATGTCAATACATTATTACTGCATCCTGCACTGGTTGGTGAAGAATACCACTGCTGAAATTGATGAAAGTCTGTTTACAAGGTGGACAAATATTGTGGGACGAGTGCTGCTGCATTCTAACCTCTCTCCAGATCTACTAACGTGTAAACTTGTTCTGACTGTCAATTTATGAACCCAGCAGTATACAACAGGAACGACTGTACCATTTTAGTACCACCCCCAAAGTATCCAAATTGGCAATTTATCCTGCCAATTGCACATAAGAGTTTCACACAAACAAAATGCAAAAACAGCACAAACAAAAACCAAAAAAAAAAAAAAAAAAAAATGCATCCTCCAAAATTGCACAGAAAGTCCACAACACTAAAAAAAAAAAAAAAAGAATGCACAGCACACAAAACAGAAGCACAACGAAGTGAAAACAACACTGCACAGCAAATTAAATGCAAAATTACTAAACTATATGCTTTATCTACCACCCCCCTGAAATATTAGACTGTCCTGTGACTTGTGGATTACCCGATTGCTGTTCTATATTATGAAAGTTCCGTTTTTTCCCCTGTTCCCCAGGTTCTTTTCCCATACTGCGGTTCAGCATAAATTATCCCTTACACATACATCTACACTGTAAATAAATGCCTATTTCTGATGCAATATCATTAAAAAGTATTGCACAAGAGGAGATAGAATTACAACTATTAATAACACATACCACTGTTTTAACACATTTCGTCGCAACAGAGTTCCCGGAGGACCATAATCAGCAAGGAAAAAACTCTTGTCATTCCTAGTTACATGCTTTAAGTTAATAAATCCTCGCGATTTCAGCAGCTGCACAAAGATAGAAAAGTTTTGTTTGGCCATTCATGAAGACTTATGCTGCTTCGTTTTCAGTTGGGAGAACCTGAAAAAAACATGTAAAAGTAGGAAGTTAGTTTTTATATTACTGAACAGGTACAGTTCAAGAAATTATGGAGAGAAAAAACTAACAATTAAAATCCACAATACCCTATGGGCAGACACAACAGAAAGCAACATACAACAACTTTTCGCCAACAAACAGGACACTGCATGCTCTACTACCACGTGCATAAAATAAAGACGGACAATCCCCACAGTGTGCCTGTCAAACAGGACCACAAACATCTGAGCACATTCTGCAGACCTGCCCACTCCATCTGCAGCTTCAAAAAGAAAGCTGACTTCAAGAGCAAAGTGTGCAGAGCAAGCTATGGGGAAACTGTGAAGGACCTGTGGCTGACATGCTAGTTCATAGATGCAGCCCACCTAATGGTCTGACCTGAGTGAAATGCAAAGAAGAAATAAGAAGACATTACTGATCCTGTGAAACAGTAGCACAACTCACAAGACAGTGCAGTCAGAAATATGGTATGTCAAGATGTTCACCTCTAACATCCTTGTAACTGGCACCAAACAACAGCTATTATAATCAGTAACCCACTGGATTGTTTCTTAGTTTAGATTACATAACAAATGTATATTATATAAAAAATACAGATTAAACTATAAAAACATAAAGGTCTCCCATCACACCCGAGTGCATTTGACAAATGCTGCTACACTCATATATATGGTGAAGTGGTCAAGTCGCTTGCCTTGTACTCGAAAGGTCGTGGGTTTGCTTCATGGCTGCGTCATTCGTTTCATGAGTGCAATTTTTACAGGGATCCCCTAGGATCGTTGCCTGAGCTATGGTGTTCATGCTTTGTGTGATGCTCTCAGCAGGCAACTTGCTGTTCTGTGAAAAGAGACTGAGCTATATGGGATAAAACTAGGTGCAAGAAAGTCAATTCTCTTGACTCTTACATTTCATTTGTGTAAAGACTTATTGGCTCTCAATGAGTGACCACCAACCAACTTAACTTCTCAGGACATTTCCTGGTAGCCTTTTTAAGCTGGGTCAACTTAGGAGCCAAGGACATTTAAAAAGAAATCCTTCCTTTTGCTAATTAAGAAACTTACATGATGGAGGGTTCTTGTCAGTGCATAAGTGACCTTTGGCAGTGATTATGTTATAGATGCTTTTATGCAAAGCTGCCATATCTTGTTTGCTCACTAGCTAGTGCTTCACACAATATATAATTTAATACTTAATAACACAGTTACTTATAAGAAGGGATTTTCTTCCTGGTGGTATGAAATGGTAGACAGTAGAGGCACCTTTAAAGCATAATTTTTTTCCAGCCCTACTGCAATAAATTTGTTTGTGATTTTCTTCCAGATGAGGACCTGAACTTTTAAATAAAAAAGGAAACTACTTATAAGTAATAGTTTCCAGCTTTGACCAATTTTGAATAAAGAATTGACATCACAGCACTCGGGACTCTCCCATAAGTGCTCCGCCTCCATCTTCAGGATCAAGTGAAGAGTTCCAGCTCTGATGGCACCAGTAACTTTCTGATTGTATATTTGTCTTACCTTTTCCTTGAGTGTCAGCTAGACCTCTGGTAACTCCCCACATCATCATTCTTCTCAGACTGTAATGATCTTTTTATGCCTCTGCACTGTTATCTCGCCCTTACAACGACTAGTTTGTCATACATCAATTTCCTACCAAGTGGTGCAGAACCGGCCAGTTGCTCATTTCCCAACACAATGGCATATCCTGGAAAAAATATCCAAAGGATGTTAACTACCAGTGACCTCTGAAACAGCTGATTTTCAAGCCAGGAGTGACTGCCTCCACCTCCATTCTTTAAAAAAAAAATTTTTTGGGGGTGATATCATATGTCAGGCTTTGCTGTACAAAGCTATGTCCATTGCTTTTGTTATGAACCCCAATGCACTTCATCTGCCTCTCAACACAGAGCCATCTGTATAGATAATCACATCACTTGGGTGGGAATTTTCATGAATCATTTGCTGAACTTCTGATTCTGCAGCACCAGCTAGCCAGTCCCTGCACTGATGACCTAACATGATTAGAACCCTATGCAAATCTGAACCTTGCTCGGACACTTTGACCCACTCCTCTTCTTGCCCAAATTTATCAAGCCTGTATACATTTTCTAATTGTGTCTTCAGCTTGCGCCATCCAAGACCTTCCTCTTTTCAGTCTTAGCTCTACGTAGGGCTTCATGCTGAAGGTGCTTCTTGCCTACAGCTACTCTGAGATATTACTTTGCTTGCGGAACTTTACAATAGTAGACACTGCAAGTATTTATTGAATACATACTACCGGGGTATCTTTTGTACCTCCCAGAATTACCGGCAGGGCTTAATTCTGTATGCATTCAAGTTTCATCTGCTGTCTCTTTATGGTAAGCATTCCAAGTATATAAGGCATATGTAAAATGTGGACTTTCTGCCAAGGAACAAATCGCGGTAAAACTAGGATTACTTGACAATTTCAAGAGACGCAACATTGCAGACGATAGTAGCAGACGATAATAGCGATTGTTGACAATTTCGAGCGTTTCTGCAGACGATAATAGCATGCGCAAAACGCGATTAAACTCACCGCCGGGCGTATCCCCCACGCCGCGGATGGAGGACTAAACTAGGTGCCTGGGACTCACGGGCAAATTAATTCGAGGAAGTTGCAGGAGATGGGGTAGCTGCTGCTTGTGAGTTCCAGCCATCTAGTTTAGCCAACATCCATGCCGCACGTAGTGGCTTGGTGGATACTGTCGGTGGTGAGGCAGTCACAGAAACAGGTCTGAAAGTAACATTTCGCTGAGACCCTGTTAGAGCATTTGTTTCGTTATACGGAGCCGGCATATTTTTAATAGAACTGAGCCCCGTAAGGATATTTTATGGTCGCCATAATATCGGGTCGAAGTTCGGGGGAGAGCCCAGAAAGATTTTGAGTGGAAGTCAACTTTTGAGATGAGATGATCATGAAGGCGAACGCAACTTTCAGCTTGATCCTGATAGCAGCTTATTAATCGTATACATTTAATTCGCCTTGAAGTAACTTATCTTTTAAAAAATAAAACATGCTACAATACAAACTGTTCTTTCTTGACTAGCTAGCAATGTCGACAACATTGACTGACTGACTGACTTTCTACCCCACTAGGACATCACACAAGCGATAAACACCCGATGACACATAGTGCCACCATGCGGATGAGGATCACCGTGGAGAGGTCCCAGAAACCGCGTTCAGATAATTGGCCATATTGATGGCCTGCCTATATTGCGGCCCCTGGCAAAATCCAGAGTTGGGCTTCGCGGCTTCAAATAACAAAAAATTACTTCCTAAGGAGGGCGTAAGGGATATAGTCGACAACATTAATATTAATGTCATATGATTATTATTATTGTGATTACGGCATAGGTTAGGTAAACAAAGGACACATTTTGAGTGTTGTCCTCAGCATTTGAGATGAAAAAAAAAAAAACACTTTCAGCCTGAAATTAGCTTACTCGTTTATTTTCATTTACCCTTGCAACATTTCATTACCTTTACATAAAACCTGCTACAATCCAGCAAAAGCTGAACTCCTCCACCCCGCAGCAGACAAGACATAACGAAAGTAGCGGCATGTGGCTGCCCTCTGCAAACGTTCCGGTGTCCACACAAACAGTGTCTTATCGGGAAATGCCAGTGCCCCACTGAATTGAGATGCTCGGAATCATGGCGGTGCAGATGGGGGTGGTTTAGTTTACAAACCACACAAGTTTATCATGCCAGGACTTATTTTATTTAACAGACGGTGGGCTGTTGGCAGCGATGATTTTGTCTTTCCATGTCTGGCAGAAGCGTTGGTCAGGATTGTATGGTGGGTAATGTTAAGGTTAATATTCAAGTTTAACTTCCTTCTCGAATGCAGATGAGAATCAGTGTTTACTTACTAATAATACTACCTTAGCTACTGTTGACTTATTAATCCAGTAACCAGTACAACTGAATACAGTCATACATATTACAAATCTGTTTTCAGTTGTACCCGAGATTTCAAGTTGTTTTTGTTGTTGTGAAATTAAGGAATAGGGAAGAAAGAAAATTCAGCATCAGATTTCTGCGACTTATTTTTTCAAAGGGAAAAGAAAAAAAAAAGGGGGGCGGGGTTTGGGGAACTTATTGTGCCGATAGTATTAAAGTTGTTTAAGTTTTACAGGCTCATGACAGGTCATTCTTGCTATTATAATTACCCACTCTGGACAATTGAATACACAAAGATAGTGCTTGGTTTAGTGTCTTTAGTTGGAGTGCTGTTAATTGTAGCTTCTTACTAAAAATGTGGCTCTCCTCCGAACGGCATCATAATATAATGCGGCCATAAAATATCAAAAAATATCCAAATGGGGCTCAGTTCTATTAATAATATGCCGGCTCCGTTCCTGTTAGAGCATTTGTTTCGTTATAATAACGAAACAAATGCTCTAACAGGATCTCAGCGATATGTTACTTGCGGAACTGTTTCTGTGACTGTGCCTCACCGCCGACTGTATCCCCTGCGCCGCTACGTGCGGCGCGGATGGGAGCTAAACTAGATGGCTGGGACTCACGAGCAGCAGCTACCACATCTCCTGCAACTTCCTCCAACTAATTTGCTCATGAGTCCCAGGCACCTAGTTTAGCCCCCCATCCGCGCTGCTAGGCGCGGTGCGGGGAATTTGCTCGGCTGTAAGTTTAATCGCGTTTTGCGCATGCCGAAAAGTGTGAGGATACAGGTCGGCAGGTCTGCGAAATCCTCAATCGGACAAACAGTATTGCTAATCTGCGTGGGAGCCCGTGGTCTACCCGCCATATCGCTTTCATCGTCTGTAATGTCTCGTAATAGTCAACGGTCGCTAATATCGTCTGCTAGTATCGTCTGCAGAAACGCTCGAAATTGTCAACTGTCGGTATTTATCGTCTGCTACTACCGTGTGCAATGTTGATATTGTCAAGTAATCCTAATTTTGCCGCGATTTGTTCCTTGGCAGAAAGTCCGTATTTTAGATGTGCCTGAGCCCCGTTAATACTATGATGCCGTTTGGAGGAGAGCCAAAAATGTGTCTTAGCATTTTGGTTTGGTATCCAAGATGGGACACTTTGGCTATCCTCCGAGTAAGGGTCCTAAATTATCGAGGCGGAAAATAAACCCTAACAGGGCCTCAGTCACGTGTCAAATGCGCACTTCCGTCGTCTTAAATTGCACACTTTCGGCACATTCTGCCACCGCCGAGAGTATCCCCCACGCCTCATGAGCGGCCTGGATTAGTGCTAAACTAGATGGCTGGGAGTCACGAGCAGCAGTTAACGCATCTCCTGCAGCTTCCTTCATTTTATTTGCTCGTGAGTCCTAGCCATCTAGTTTAGCCCCAATCCACGCCGTGTGAGAGGCGTGGGGGATACTCTCGGCGGTGGCGGAAGTCGCAGGAAATTCGCAATTCGGTGGTGGCGTTATAGTCCCCGGAAGTGCGCAGTTGACACATGACTCAGGCCCTGTTAGGGTATATTTTCCGCCTCGATAATTTAGGACCGTTTTTCGGAGGATAGCCGACACTTTGGGTTACAGTGGTGTCAAACCTTCAGGTAACAGCAGAATAGGAGAAGGCTAAGTAGAACTGTTGGTGTCATCATTTCTTCTTTATAGCAGTGAACTTAACTGAATAGATATAATCATATTATAATGTTCCCCAATGATTTATATTTGTAACAATAATTAATTAACGCTTTCAGTCCCAGGGTGTTTAGCATCAGAGGCCCAAGAGGTAGTACAAAGAGCCGTACAATCGATGCATCTTGAGATCATTGGGCTTCTGTGTAGGAATGTATGAGCGTATGATTCATTCCTTGGGACCAAAAGAGTTAATTAATAGTTATTTATTGAAACTGAATAATTGTGGTAGCATTATTTAGCATTGAGCAACTACTAACGAGGATATGCATTAAATTGTAAGCAAGTACACGATTATTGCATATGACCATTTCCAGAAAGTAAACACCACAGTCACAGTCCAAGTAAATGATAATGAAATGTTTCAGATAACTCATATCATCTGTCCTGCAACAGTTTTAACTCTGGACCAAATGGTGCTTTTAACTCTTTCAGGATCACAGTTTTTCAGGGGTTTGGATAGCATTAATTAGAAGCCAAATTTTTTTTCTGCAATATGACAAAGCTAAAACCTTCCTGAAGAAAAAGTATAGGCTTTATCAGGATGCATATCATATTAAAGATAAATGAGTGCAAAATAAATCTAAACCATTTAAGTGTCAGTATTACAACAAAATATTATTAAAATTGCACAACATTCAAGGATGTTAGACACATGAAGATTATTTACATTAAAAAAAAAAATGTTTCTCTTAACTTACCTTTTTACTTGTTCAGCAACACTGCTATTCAATTCTAAGAATTTATTTGCCTTCTCTGTTCAATTATGTTTTAGATGGTCTTTCTTTGAAACAATTAATTTAAATAGTTTGGATAATATAATCATTTTTATATGACATGTTAGATTTCACAACAACTGAGAATTGGGAAAACAGATGATCCAATTGAAATATTTTGTTCAATTTTCATATCCTAAACTAAATTATCGCCAATAGGTTTGTCATTTAGATATCAATCATAATATCAAGACTATTGTCACCATCTGGCAGAGATTTATCAGCGACGGAGCAGTATCAACAGTTCTAGACCTTTTCTCTTATCATTTAGTATAGAAAAATCACGAAAAAATTGTATCACAAATAAATAATAAAAAAAAAATCATAAAGTGACGCTAAAGCCATGCGAGACATCGCAAACAAAAGGACATCTGTTGTTAACTTTTCAAAAACTTATTCATAATAGTTTGTTTTCCACACTAACGGAACAGAATTAAAGTGTCTCTTTGATACGCCAATATACTGATGACCGTCTGCTAGGGATAACTGCATAAGCCAGTTAACTGGCGACTCGTCTTCAAAGAGGTAAGATATTAAAACAAGAATTATTGCAACAGAAAAATTGTAATTCTAAGATGAAAAACAAACTTAACAATAAATATGTGTCTGTCTCCGATAAATTTAGTGTTAACCCTCTGAAGAGGGAGCTTTTTTGGGAGTTTCAGTGAATAAGTCCTAACACTTGTGTTTTGACAAATAAGGCCCTTGGAGGCCCTTCAAAAACTTTTGGTATATGGTTCTACTCATTTTCCTGCCTCTAGCTGTGTTTCTGTTGCTATGATGCAACAGGCCTTTTTGCCATTGTTGGCCCAGAAAAAAATTGATGTAAAATTATGGAACATGTTAAACTTTCTCAAAAGCCATAAATTAACAACCCACATGGGCAAGAAATACAAGACTCAATTTGATTGGCTGGTACGAAAACCTGCCAGCCAATCTCAAGGCTTGTATTACTTAAGGCCGACTGATCGGCCCAGTTGTCCTTTTTGGCTACCTTGTCTCTGGCCAATATTTTGGCAGTGTCGTCTCCAAAGGGTTAAAAGTGCTGTAAAAAAAAAGCAGATACTAATGTAATATATACAGAAAGTAGATGGAAAAATAAGCTGAGAATCATTTTAAGGCATGGCAGAAGAAATAGGATTCCTGATGAGAATATAAGCAACTCTAGGAACTTAAACCAAATAAAAAAAATTAGCATAAAGATTCTCCTTCAAGGAGCAAACAAAAACTGCAAATTGATTGGATAAATTAGACATAATTCTAGCTGTAGAAAGGGAAGCAGCATCACTGAAAGTAGCAAAGGAAGAGGAACTCTATATAAATTAAGGAGTTGAAAACAAAAAAAGTAAATTCCCTTTAACACAATTGGCACATTGGGCACATAGTCCTAAACTCATATTTGTATAGACCAATCAGCACATGGTTGGGTAAGTCCATCACAGCATTTGGGACATTCCCATTAATGCTCTGATCAGTGATATGGTCAACATCAAGCTGGTCATTTTTACTTACCAGGACATTTCCTGTTACCAATTTTAAGCAGGTTGGGTCATTTAAAAAATAGTCTTGATGCCTAATTGACCCCAAGACCCTAGAACCAGCAGGCAAGCTTCTAGCCGTTGCACTGCAGCAGCTCCCTGTTGCTGCAGTAATCACTTGAAATCAAGAATATTGATGTTACTGAATTTGTTGAGGAAACACTGGCTGAATGCTTAAGAATGCTGGGTTGTGGATTATTTTTCTTTAAGGGTAAAAAACAAAATCCTAACCTGCACAATTCATGGCGACAGCACTAGCCATGCGGTCCTAAATCTTCACGCTCAAGAGAAGCCTGCCTGCACTGTGGGGTGCACTGGAGACACCTTTTGTGTAGCAATGAAGTACCTTTTTGACTTCCCTACCATGAACTACAGGATCAAGATCTTGAGGGCTTGTGCATACCCCAAGATAAGCTCATATCTGAAGCACCCTTTGCACCACATGCTCTTCAAGAGAAAGGGCCATAAGCTTAAAAGGGGCAAATCATGGCTGGGTAGGGCAGAGGATGACATCATGCAGGTTTGCAGCCTTACAGATATCCATCCAGGTGAGGAGTGGACACCAGTGTCTAAACGCCCAGTCTCACATTCTCCGGTTTTGTGATGCTCGATAGCAGTTGTCGAGAGCAGAATCCAACTTCTGTCAATGCCAAAGTATGCACACTTATCAGTGACAAGTCAGATGAGACAGATGTGGTGATCTTCACAAATGGGTCCTTTATACGAGGACATAAGAGTGCATGGGCATTTGCAGCTTGCTCTCAGGTAGAAGAGTTCAAGAAGCCAGCCAGAGGTGGACAAACAACCAGAACCAGACAGACACACACACAAACAGACAGCCACACAGACACACACACACAGACAGACAGACAGAGTGTTTATATATAAAATATATGACTATTTCAGGTTAATGATACTGGCCATCATATTTGCTAGTCACCATTATGGCTTGAACTGTGACCATGGCAGTGAACTGAGGGCTTTCTACATAGGGAGTCTGGTCCTAAACTGTACTGCCATCATCATCTTAGCCATGTTACTTCACATTAGTATGCAGGTGAGAGATTCTTCTTCACTGGAGATGCTCAGTGTTCAGGTGTATTCTCACTTAGCTCATAGTTAGTTAGTTACTTCATCGAAAGATAACCCTCATTGCACATCAGACAAGTCCATAAGAGCTCAGATCCCATCTTCAGTATGTGCCCCAGCTTGTGATCCAAGTTCTTGTAGTCTTTTGAATGTTGTCAATTCAACATCATCTCCTGAATTATCTTGTCATCCTACCTTCTTGAAAGCATTGAGAATGTCGGTCTGGTCCATTGCTTTTCCTGTACCTACCGTGGTCCTGGCAGCAAGCCAGTCTCCTTGTTCATTCCCTCATAACCATATGGGAGTTCAGGCAGCTGCTATCCAGTTAACTATCTAGTCATGCGCCCTTTCTCTGTAAATGCGGACATCAGATTATCATATCTGATTCTACTGAAGGCATCTGCAAGATCAGTTGCTGGCTCTACCATCTCCTGTATATTTTGGAACCCTCTCATAAACATCAAATGCAAAAGTGGTTACATTTGACTAGATATCCTTCCCTAGTCAGTAACCTCTTGGGAGGAGCTCTTCTGTTTTGAAAAATCTTTGCAGTTTAACAGCAGCAATCTTCTCCAGCTCCCTGCCAACACTTTTTTAATAGGGTAATAATCCTGAAGCCACTAAGTCTTCAATGATCTTTGCCTGGTTTTGGGAGTGAATTAAAAAAAAACTCTGCACCCAGGCCTGTGATGTTGATGCTATTCTGGTGCTCTGGTTAAAGTGAAACGCTATTTCTCTCAAGTCTTCATCACTTTCATGTGCTCCTACCTGACCCTCTCTGATCCCAGGGCAGTGTATTTCGTTGTGTGTAATAGATGTCTCATATCCTTCAACTGAATGATGTCCTCATAGTAATCATAATGTATAGTACTAGATCGATCATCACTAATCTAACTGATCTGTAATTTCCCTATCATTATGATGATTGACATTCTACAAAATATGAATATCCAAAAATAAACTAGCTGAGTGTCACAGAAACTGAAATGTTTTGGCCATTTTAAACGTCATAGTGGCTTTAACAATGTTATCGAATGCATGCTTCTAGAAAAAATGAAGAAGCAGGAGTTGGTTAGCACATTTTTGGACACAGGTCAGGTAATAAAGACATTCAGTGCATGAATATGCATGAGCCAGAGGTACTGGCAAAAGATAAAGAATCTTTCTGGAGGATCATAACAGAAGTGACTTTTTTTGCAAAGAACCTTTTTATGGTGATGATATTCTTTTTGTGGTTCGTATCACATATAGGGATGAATGCTTATAACAATCAATGACTGACAGATAATTTGTTAGAATACATCTCGTGTTGTTAAATAAATATGTAAAACTGCCTGTGAATGACATAAAATTAATACATGTAATTGTATTATAATTTATAATACTTGTCTTCATAGTAGTTTTCCTAGCAAATGTTTTTTTTTTAGATTATTTGTATTCTAATGCCAAATTTAGTACTGTAAATATACTGTGGATGTTTCTTTTGTTTTTTTGGGCCAGGGTACAATAATAGATGTCATCCCTCGAAGAAACATCAATAAATGGTTATATGCAAAGCTGTTCCTTTTCTTTCTGGAACTTGTGTGGCTGTGTATCTCCACCTACTGGGCTTTTGCTCATTCATTCACCTGTAACTGGACAATTGTAATGACAGCTCGAGGTGCAATTATTTGCACTTGGGTCATGGCTTTTGCCATATTTGTTGCCATCCTAATAGTGTTTGATCCAATGGGCTCAGTGAAGCAGCGACAGTCAATTAGCTGCAGCATGAGACGTGGCAATGAGGCTGAATTAATCATGGCAGAAGCATCAGCCAACAAGGTCTGGGAGACAAGGTTTGACATTCTTATGTGTTAGTTGTTATTGTCTGTAGTTTAATAATGAAGCAGTATGTTAGCTCTAATGGGAGCCACATAAGCACAGTGGCTAGACGTTTGCTTTATTATCACCAATTTCCACTTCTGCCGTAAGGTGTTGTGGGGAGAAACAGTTTGCGATCCATTGATTGATGGGCAGCAATGGCTATTGTCATTCGGTGTCCTTGCAGAAGCTTTTTAATGTCGTCAATCTATATTCTCTTAGGGTGGCCTCTTGCTTTCACTTCAGATCTTTTCATGTGTAGCGCCTGCGCTGGTAGTTATTCTGGCTGCTTCTTCTTCTTCTTCTTCACTTCCTCTTTTACCGCTGTGGGTGTCGAGGGAGATATAAGGTTCTGTTTCTAGCTCTTCTGGCTGCCTCGGCCATAGACACATCGTGCTGTTGTAGAGTTTCTCTGATGTTATCCTTCCACCTTGTTCTTGGTCTACTCCGTGCTCTACGTCCTTCTTCTCTTTCCATGTATGCTTTGTATGGTATGGTGTCACAAGGCATTCTCTCTAAGTGGGCAAACCATTTCACTTGCTGTCTTTGTATGTAATCCAGAATTGGTTCTGTGCCGACTTGTTCTCTTATGATCTTATTCCTGATCTTATCTCTTATGGTCACTCCTACAGCCCTTCTCAGACATCTCATTTCCGTGGTTACTAATTTTCTTTTATGGTTTGTTGTGAGTGACCATGTCTGGCACTGGTAGCACAGAGTTGGAATAAATATGCTTTGAATAAGATGTCTCTTTGTGCTGATTGGGATTGTCTTATGCTGTAAGAGGGGGGCTAGCTGTCCCAATACTTGGTTTGCTTTACCTGCATCTAATGTCAATTTCTTTATCCAATTTCCCATCTTCGGTAAATGTAGTTCCCAGATATTTAAACTCAGATGCCTGTTTAATGTCTTTGTATTCTATTGCTATGTTTAGATCTGTCTTCTTTTTTCCTATTGCCATTACTTCTGTCTTTTCAGTATTGATTCTCATATTATTTGTTTTACATTCTTCATTCATGGATGTTAGATGTTGTTGCAATTCCATGGCTGTGTCTGCTATCAAGGCCTGGTCATCTGCAAAGAGTAATTCTTTGATCTTACTAAGATCTTCATTCATGGGCTTGGCATTTTTGCATATACTGTCGATGTAGGTGATAAACAGCAGTGGTGATAAGACACACCCCTGTCTTACTCCAGATGTCACTGTGAAAGGATGAGATGTTCCCTGATTTATTCTAACTACACTTCTACAATCCCTGTTTAAACTTTTGCACACTTCGATGAGGTGTTCGCTTACTCCATATCTTGCCATTATTTTCCTTAGTAATTGTCTGTCGACTCTGTCAAATGCCTTCTCCTGGTCTACGAATGCCACAAATAAGTTCTTATTGTATGTTCTTTTCTATTAACTGTTTAAGTGTGAAGTTGCATCTGTGCAGCTTCTATTTCTCCTAAATCCCATCTGTTCTTCTGCCAGCTGTGGTTCTATCACTGGTCTCAGTCTTGTTTCTATTATCTTGGCATACATTTTGCCAACATGGCTTAAAAGAGAGATGCCCCGGTATTGACCGCATTCTCGTTTGCTTCCTTTGTTCTTCCACAGTGGTATAACTATTGCATGTTGCCAATCAATAGGGGCCGTTTGTTGTACCCATGCTGCATTGAATATTCTGTGAAGCCATCTGATGCTGCATTCACCTGATGCTTGATTTATTTCTGTTGGTAATCTATCAGCTCCTGGTGCTTTATATTTGGGAGACTGTTTAATGACTTTTTCTATTTCATCCATTAGTATGTGTGGTTCTAACACTGTTGCTCTGTGCTCTTCAGTGGTTCTTTCCTGATGATCTCCTAGAGGATTAAAGAGCTCATTGAAGTATTCCGTCCATCTTTCTGCTATCTCGGGTGGATCTATCAATGGCCTTCCTGTCTTATCATTTCAGTGGGGTTGCAGCTCTCATCTCTTTTCCGCATATTTTTAACTACTTTGAAAAATTTTCTGCTGGCTGTTTTCTCATTTTCTGCTAGTGACTCACCGAAACGTTCCCAGGATGCTTGTTTTGCTTTCTTGACACTCCTGTTGGTTTCTCTCCTTTGCAGTCTATAGTTTATATAATCTTCTTCTTTCTTTGATTTTATCCACTGTTTATATAAGTCTTTTTTCTTTTTAATTGCTTCTTTTACTTCTTCGCACCACCAAGGTGAATATTTGTTATTTCCCCGTCTGTTTCCACTCTTCCGTTTTCCACATAATTCTTCTGCAATACTAAGCATAGTGTTTTTATATATACTCCATTCTTCCTCAATATTGCCAACTACATGTGGAAGTTGTTTGAATGCTGTCTCTACTTTCTGTTGTAACTGTTCTTTTATTCCTTCCTGTTTCAGATTTGCTATCTTGATAAGATCCTTGTTTTTATTTAATTTCTTTCTGTGTTTCTTTAATGTAAGATGTTTTGCTGTTAACACAACTATTTTATGGTCAGTGTCACATAGACCATTAGGGATTGCTCTTGAATCAAGAATTCTCCTTCTTCCTTGAACTCTGGTAAGTATAAAGTCAATCTGGCTCTTGATGGAGACATCATTCCATTTGTACCAAGTGTGAAGTTGTGAATCTCTATGGTCAAAGAATGTGTTCGTAATAAAAAGATTGTGCTGGCTGCATAGATCCAATATTCTTTGACCATTTCCATTTCTAGCACTGTTCTTAGCTGCATATGGACCTAAAAACTGTTCGTATTCTCTTCTGTTATTTCCTAGACTCCCGTTGAAGTCACCCATTACATATAGTATGCTGCTTCCCTCAACTTTCTTTATCTCATCAGACAGATCGTCAAAGAATTCATCTTTCTGCTCTTCTGTATAATTATCATTGCATGGTGCATATATCTGTATATATGTTTCAGCTTGTTCTCCTCTTTTAATTTTCAAAGTAATAATTCTATCTGAGTGATAATGTATGTCCAATATGTAGTTAGATATGTCAGGATGTACCAGGAAACCCACTCCATTCTTCAATGTTTTTCCTCCTGCATATGTTAGTAAGTAGCCTCTGTGTATTTTCTTATTAATATTTCCCTTGCGTCTTATGTCAGCTAGCCCCATTAACTTGATTTTCCTTTTTTCCATCATTTCAATAATCTTTTCTGTTTTATTTCCCAGGCCAGAGGTGTTAAGTGTTGCAATCTTGTATTTCGCTGTTCTGTCTCGTAGTCCCTTAACATTGCCATGGTCAGATACCGTTTGATCAGTCCGTTTATATCTCATTTTGATTTCTGTAGCGGTAATAAATCCATTGCCGGCTTGCTAGGCCTATCGCAACTTCACCAGAGCCCCATTGGCCAGGACGTTTTGGGGTGACCCAGGGTGGCCTTCATGGCTACCGTAGCTGTCCCGTGGCACGAGGCCACACCATACTTTGCCCACACCTAGCAATCCCCTACTTTGTCCTGTTACCACCTCTCACGACGAGGACGTGCGGTTGGATCTGGCTGCATTCTTACTAAATGACTAAACCATTTGATCTTCTGTTTCTCAGTAAAATTGCTGTATGGTGCTATTCCTACAGTCTGTCTGATGATATAATTTCTAACTTTGTCTTGGGGTTAAGTTGGCGGCTTTTCTCAAGCACCTCATTTCACATGTATTAATCTTACGTAGGTTAGCTTTTGCTAATGTCCAAGTCTGGTACTGGTAGCACAGTGTTGGTATGAATATACTGCTTATAATCTGTTTCTTGGTGCTCATACTTATGTTTGGATGTCTTAATGAAGATGTCACATTGTATAAAAGTGCACTGGCTCCCTGGCATCTTGTTTCTATTTTCCCATCTATTCTCCCATCCTCCAAGAATATACTTGCATGATATTTAAAATCTTTAACTTGCTTTAGACAAGTAGCATTCAACCCGATGTGTAGCGGACTAAGAATTCTGCTGACCTGCATTACTTCAGTTTTAGTTGTATCTATTTTCATGTTATATAGAAGAGCTGTATAGAACTCATCTTGATGCACAAAGTCGATTGTGGACAGTTAGTAAACAATTATGGTTGTATTTAGAAGTCTAATAAACAAGCTAAAAAATATATTCAGGCCTCGGAGATGTGGTTTTACAGAAGAATCCTTAGAGTTCCTTGGGCAGTTAAGAAGAGCAACACCGATGTTTTAAAAGAGGCAAGTATCACAGGCAGCAGAAGGAGAAGTCATAATTTTTTGGTCATTTTATGAGAAGAGATAAAATGCAACACTTTGTGACTACTGGAAAGATCCGTGGAAATAGAGACAGAGGAAGACGGCATGAGAAGATTCTTGACAGTCTTTTGTCATGGCAAAGAGGGGTGTCAGCACACTAACTGATATACGCAGTTGCGAGAGGCATGATCGCCCATGCCAGTCGGCGAGGTACCTGATGATGATTTAGAAGTCCTTGTGTGGGTTCTGGGGCTCCATTTTATGGAAAACAAGAAAAGATGCACTGCCTCCCCAACAAGCACGCCACAGAGGTTGACTAACTGGGGGCATCCTTTGAAGTCAGAGTACATCTAAATAAAGTTCGGCGCTGGAAAACACCTGTAACTTGCCGCCAGAGTTTACAGCCGGTGATTGTAAAGAAGAGGAAGTATTTATAAAAATGACAAGAACACTGTGGCAGATAAAAACTAATAAAAATGTTTGAAAGAAATTAGCTCAGTAATTGATTGTCCACATCAAAAGGAGACAGTCCACATTCTTAGGGCACATTGTTAGAAGGGAAAAGCTAGAGTACATTGTGACAAAAGGACATATGGATGGGTAAGAAAGACAGAGGGAGACCAGTAGAAATTATTTTTAGAGTAGCTTGGCATCATAGCATGGAAGAGCATCCGTATCAGAAATATTTGACTGTACACGAGAGAGAGGGCATTCAACAGGCATGATTTCCAGTGCCACTGAGCAGGGACTGTCAGGAAAAAAGAATAGTGAACGGATTGAAATTCAACCCTGAGGAATGTTATAATTGATTGATTGAAGAGGCTACCTCATCCTGTAACCACAGATATCTACCAACCGTGAACAGGTTGATAGAAACATTTGGCATGAATTTTATGAATGCCTAAGCTCAATGAGGGATAAAGGGAAGAAGAAAGAAGATAAAAGTCTTTCAGGAAATTGTGAATGCCATTAAAGTCTCAGCTTAATGAAAGGGAGGTTCAAACTGCATCTCCAGGGTGTAGATGAGGAGTAAACAGAGTGTAGCAATTTCATGGAGCCACGTTTCCGGAATGAGTGGACAACTCTCAAGGTTAGGCAGAGCAGGGCACTCATTTGTCAAAAGCGAATGTTGTAAACAACCCTTTTGAACGTGGATGGCAAGAGGAAAGTGCCACAGGGTCAGGACAGACATCCTTATACCAACTACACTTCAATAAATGCAAGCTCTTCTCAGACCTCAGACAACCTGGAGGCCAGTGCACCTGACTTTAGTTAGTTATAATTCAATCTTCCACAGGATTCTCCAACCGACTTGTCACACCTGCATTCAAGATGTGTGACTCGCTCATTAAATTGTTCTTGTGAAGAAGATGTGGCAGTTTCCTCTTGCCATCCACGTTCATAAAGATAGTTTAGAACAATTTCTACCACTAGCTCTGAAATTATTTTAGCGCGAGACATCAAATAATACAACCAGGTGCCGACCTGCTTTGCACCTGCCATCATGGAACTGAATGTTCAAGTAATTTCTTGAAACTGCACATTGGAGTAATTTCTCGCTCTTTCTCAATGCTTCAAGAATTCATGGAATCCATTTGCACTGTTTTATGGACCTTACTGTTGTAAAATATGTTGTATTGAAAAATGGTTTTATTTATTAAATTCGTTGAGAATATTTATGAATGGCCAAGTTTTGACCCTAGGCCTAGGATTAAAATAGAATAAAATGGATAAAGGTTGTCAGAACAAAATGTGTGCGAGAGGCCTGAAAAAATACAAGAAAGAGTAAATTTTTGCATGAAAAACCCAATGGGAAAATATCAGGCATTAGTGCTGGGAACAAAGAGTTAAAGGGACTTTTTATGGAATAGAAGTGTGTGCTTGTTTTAAGAACACAAGTATTTGAGTGCAGCATTTATACCAGTATTTTTGTGTGTCAAGAGATCCCGGCTCCCAACTTTATGTGTGCTATGAATTGAGCAGTTGAAGCCATGTAGACTTGTGTGAAAGTATTTGTGTTCAACTGGGAATTAATTCAGCTGTAAGCACAGTTTATGCCTGCAGATGGGTGAGGTTTCCCAGGCAATGTAGGACTGAGGACAATTGGACAATTGGTAGTTAGCATTGAATGAATGCATATGAACTTTTTAACACTGAATCTTGTTCCAACTACTGCTGGATGTTGTGTTGTTTGTGACATCAGAGTTGTGCTGAGTGTCACTTACAACAAGCAAGAAAAAATAAACATAAAGTGGCTCAGTATGGTAACATTACTTCTTCTTCTGTCTTTCTAGCTCCCAATGGAGCATAGGCCCTCAACCAACTCATGCCAAGTCCTTCTGTCCTTCGCTATGGCATGCAGCTCTCCCCATCTTTTTAACTTCCGTCTCAAGCTCCTTTCTCTGTGTGTTTTTTTGGGTCTTCCTTTATTTCTGTGTCCCTGGGGTTTCAGTGCCAAGACATTCTAGTTATATTGTTCTCAGGTTTTCTCAGATGTGTGTCCTTTCCAATGCCAGAGTCTTTTCTTCCCTTGGTCCACTGGAAGTTGTTTAGTTCTCTCCCAAAGTCCTACATTATTTCTAAACATCATTCAATAACTTGTAAGAAATAGGATATGATAGGCCTAAGGTGCTGCACATAGATATTGATTCTAAAAAGGGCCCTGGAAGTCAAAAAAGAACCTCTGGATTACAGTGTTACTAGTCTTTACTTCCTTTATGGGCCCTAGCAACAAGTGACATGCCATATTTCTATACAACTTTTAATTCAAGAGCATAACAGGTGTCACCGCCTGAAATTGGAAACCACTCTGTTAGATCTGTACCCTATATGGCAGTAGTGTTAGATTACTTTTTCCTTACGGTATTTTGCTTTGCATGATGTAAAGGGACCCTTTTCCACCAAGCCTTCAGGCATGTTGGACAAATAGGGTTAGACATATTTTATAGACCAGTCGCTACCTTGGTGGGTGATGTGGTCACCATCAGGCCGGCTGCCTTTACTTCCTAGGACTACACCTAGTACCCACTAAAGGCTGAGTCGACCTGGGAGTCTAGGTCATTTTTTTAAGAAAGCCCGGTTCTGTCAGGACCTGAACCCATGACCTTCCGATCCACTGGCAGACGTCTAGTCGCTTGACCATGGCAGCTACATGATGCATGCCTGCCTGCCTAAATTTTCTGTTTTAATGATTGCCATAATAAATGTTTCTTTCTTAAAACTGACAGATGCCGAGTTCTGTGTTGCTGTATAGCTTGCAATCCTGACACCAGGCAAGCTTTCAGTGATGTTAGTAAAGTGATCGCAGCATTTTTTGAAGTTAGTTTTCATGTGTTTTATTAAAATATTAATTGCAATAAGAAAACTATACTGTTTAAGAAAAGAATGCGATGAGACAATTTTATTAGTTGATGGTAGAGCCTGTACGCCTAAAAACTATCAATGACCCAGATGCAAAAGAACTGTAAATTGATGTATTGAAACTTATAGTATTCTAATGATCAATTTTGACTGTGTCACCCATTATATTACACATATTTTGAATGTCAGAATTTTGTCAATATTATCTTCCTTTCAATGGCTGTGAGGTTCTTTCGATGTTTTAAATTTTTTTTTTTTCAAATGGTATAATTTTAAAGTGTCATATGGAGCCAAAATGGTTGTTGCATGGATCTTTACGGTTGTATACATATACAGTAAAAAGGCTTGCGACATCCTGTATGGTGAATTACATACAGCTGAGTTGATGATGCCAAGGTCGGTCGGTCTCTACTATAATATAAAGATGTGTGCATATGGGACATGAATAATACAGGTATTAAGGAGGATTGGTGAGAACAGGATGCCACGGACAATGTTGCAGTTGCATTGGTGCTGACATCCCATGCTCTAATCAATGAAGAATTTTCTAAACAGCAGCAGGGCTTGCTAGTCACAGCTGCCATCAGCAAGAGCTCAGATTCCCATGCCTGTTTGTAGCACAGTGTAGCACTATCATCTGGAAAGATGCCAAACAAGAAGACAGACTGAGAGGCATTTGGTGACAGTGGAAATATGATTTCTGAGGAAAATACATGAATACCATAGGCCAGCAGATAAGGAACGAGGCATCCCTCAAGGAACATATGGAACTCTTGATCTGATTAGAAGTATTATATGTAAATTGTAGCATTTTTATTGGCGGGTTGCTGGCAAGTTCATGGAAAACAAAAGCAAAGGAAATACAGGAAGAACAGTACCTGAGTTGTTTGAGCATATAGTATAAGAGGGGACAAGAACACAGACCTGATCTGAGACTGGTGATTATATGAGTTGTGAACCCGGTTTGCTCAGCTAATTGGCAGGACACATGATGATGATACATAAAAAAGAAAATATATTGTTCACGCCATTGGCATGTTGGGCACATGGTGCCAGAATGAAAAAGTTCTTCATCATCATCACTATCAGTTACCGCTTCCGCCGTTAAGTATTGTGGAGAGGAACAGTTTGTGATACATTGCTTGATGGGCAGCAATGGCTATTGTCTTGCCATATTGAATAGAAGCTATTTAATGTCATCAATCCATGTACTCCTGGGTCAGCCTCTTGATTTCACTTCAGATCTTTACATGTGTAGCACCTGCATTGATACTTGTTCTAGCTGCAATCTTACTAGATGACCAAACCATTTGATCTTCTGTGTCTCCGTGAATTTGCTGCATAGTGTTCCTACAGTCTGTTTGATAATATCGTTGCTAACTTTGTCTCACATGGTTAAGTTGACGGCTCTTCTCAGGCATCTCATTTCACAGGTGTTATTTTTATGTAGGTTAGATTTGATAATGTCTAAGTCTGACACTGGTAGCACAGTATTGGTATGAATGTGCCGTTAAAAATCTGTTTCTTGGCGCTCATATTTATGTTTAGATGTCTTAATAATGTGTCAGTTGGTAAGTAAGTGCACTGGCTTGTTGACATCTCGTTTCTGTTTTCGATCTACTCTCACATCTTCCGAAAAAATACTTCCGAGATACTGAATTTCTTTAACTTGCTTCAGACAAATACCATTCACCCGATATGTAGCGGACTAGGAATTATACTGATGTGGGAAAGTTACATATACATTAGTACTTTAATAAAATATTAAATTAAAATTAAACACAGTTAAGGGAGGATGTTGTGCCCCAACTTCAAAATGCTGTATGTTCAAAATAAAATCAGTAGCAAAGGATTCAGGTGTCATGACAGATATTTGGTAATCTAACCATATGATGCCATGACCAAGTATATGTAAAGCCTCCATCTCTTCACACTTCTCAGTTAGCGCAGAATAACTTTGATCATCCCAAACAATATTCTTCTACTGTTTATCCCAAGTGTAGCATAATGGACCAGCTATTGTCGCCTCACTGTCATCTGTTCTCTGTGTATTTCTTGTGGCCTACTGTTGATCCCAAGTGTAGCATAATGGACCAGCTATTGTCGCCTCACTGTCATCTGTTCTCTGTGTATTTCTTGTGGCCTACTGTTGATCCCAAGTGTAGCATAATGGACCAGCTATTGTCGTCTCACTGTCATCTGTTCTCTGTGTATTTCTTTTGGCCTACTTTTTACACATGTGACCTTGTTGGTTCTGATGCGTAGACACTGTAGTATTTTTGTTATCAGGTTTTTCAATGTGTTTCTTATCCAACACAGTCATTCAGTCAGGTGCTGTCTCCAAAATGCAGCTTGGTTGCAATGGATCTCCAACACACTCTGTCATTCATCCTGGCATTACACACTTTTTCAGACTGCTGTTGGACCATCTCTTGATCATATCCCTTGCCCTTTATCTCTGCCTGCTTCTTGCTCACTTGCCGTCAGCTTTTCCCTTGTCTATGGTTTTTAAAAGAATCTAAAACAGTAACAGTTTAAATTGTTAGTTAGCTAATGGACAGATTATCCTCATTGCACATTGGACAAGTCCATAAGCATTTGGATTCCATCTTCAATATATCCCTCAGTGTGTGGCGACTGATAACACCAGTTCTGTGTTGGTTTACTATTCTTCTTTTGCTACCTATATAGTGCTCATGTTTGGCAACACCTCTTTTGACCTAAGTTACTTGTAGTCGTTTGAGTGTTGCCGATTCAACACCATCTCCTGAATGATCTCGTCCTGCCTCCTTGAGAGCATTGAGAATTCAGCCTGGTTTATTGCTTTTCCTGTACCTACCGTGGTCCTGCCAGCAAGCCAATCCGCTCGTTCATTCCCTCTTCCCCAGAGTGTCCTGGCACAAAACTAATTAATTTCAGATGAGATTTCATCAGCGACTTCAACCATTTTCCTCTAATCCATCCTGTCTCTATCTTCCTAAGCATGCTCATGGAATCTCTTAGAACGCACGCATAGGAAAAATGTGTCTCTAGCCTCATCTTTGCTTTAGTTACTGCCATCACCTCTATAGTCAGGCTACTCGTAGTCGAGGCAAAAGTCCTGCTATCTTCTTTTACAGTTTTCCATTGAACAAGAACTTTGAAATCCCATGAACTGTGTATGTTTTGAACAATGAATCTGTCAGTGTAGATATATGCACCTCCTTCAGTAGAATTTTCAAGAGTTGAGGCTTAGTTTAAATTGGAAAACATCAACAATTGATTGCCTAGTGCACTTCTCTATCTCAGCAGGGGCATTATTACATTGTACACAAAACAAAATCCCACAAACTATGACTCCTTTCAACTAAAATACACATATTACACTGTCTCTTGTTAGACTATGCATCTCACAATTGAAGTCTAAGATTAAGCATATGATTACCATGGAAGTCTTAGATTAACCACATGATTGTTTTGTTTACATTACCCAGGGTTGTCTGCGTTCATTACCACAATAATAATTAGCTGTGAACATGCCTGATTTAAAAAATAACGTGACATTGAGTGATGAAGTTACTGGCATAAATATCTGTTGGTCCACCAGGAGATAGACCTAGTTCCCACAGATATTGCTGCAGGCTTGGTGCTAGTTCAGCAGCAACAGTCAAACAGGAGCAGCCTGCTGGCTTCAGTTGTCTCACCTAGAAGCTCACTTCAAAGAGAATCAGTCATGCTTAGAGAATGTGGTGCTTCTGCTATTCCAGAGCCCAAACCTTGGATGACAGTAAGTTGTTAGTATTTACTGAGATGTCCACAAATCTTGGATGACAGAAAATTGGTTGCATTTATTTTGTCAACAAACAATTGACAGACAGTAAGTGTTTGAATTTATTGAGTTGTTGACAAATCTTGGGTTAGTAAGTTGTTTTTGTTTATTGAGATGTCCACTGACTTTGGGTGACAAAAAGTTATAGGAATTTGTGAGATGTCAACAAATCTTGGATGACAGGAACATGCACTTCATTTTAGATTTGAAAAAAACACAAATTGTGTTTACTGAGTTGTAGACAAATGTTGGTTGACAGTAAGTTGCACATTTTGTTTTCTTTTGAGTTATTGACAAATTTTGGATGACAATTTTTGTGTCTTTGTTGTGTTTTTAGAATTGTTGACAAATTTAGGAGAACAGTGAATTGTTTGTGTTTATTGAGAAGCCCATAAATCTTCATTGATAGTAGTTGTTTGTATCTGTACACTATCCCACACCCTGGACAATAACATCATTTGTATTTATCCTGTGATGTCAGAGTCAACAGTAGATTGATCTGACTAATAGTAACCCTGGCTGGGTTATGTGGTCCCATCAATTTCTTTGACCTGTCAGCATGATTGCATCTAATGCTAACCCTAACCTAACCCACCAGTATACATGCACAGAGACTGTCCTTTCCAGGGTCCTCCCACGCAGCCAATCTGCCCCCCCCCCCCCCCCCCCCCCCCCCATGATGGCCCTTTTCAAGGCATGCTTCAAGCCAAACTTTACAAGTCACTGAGTGAATTACACAAGACAATGAACTTCATACTAGAAGCAACATTGCACATACAGATAAATCTATTTTGGGTGAGAAAATGAAGAAGAAAAAGAAGTAAAAGAAAAAGGAGGAGGTGAAGAAGAAGGAGGAGGAGAAGAAGGAAGAGGAGGAGGAGAAGAAAAAGGAGGAGGAGATAGAAGAAGGAGGAGGAGGAGGCGAAGCAGAAGAAGGAGAAGAAGAAGAAGAAGGCGAGGAGGAGGATGAAGAGAAAAAAGAACATGATGACAGTGACTAACCGTAACCCTAATGCCACTATAATATAGCACCTTCCAGGAAACTTCCTAGGAATTACCTACCAAATCTTGCAGCGCCCAAGATGGGGTGAACAATTGGACAAAAACTAATAGCTAAAATTGTGTTATCCAAGATGCAGATAGCACAATACATCATGTTAGCGGCCCTTTTAAAGGTGAATGCAGAAGAAGACTAATGATAATATTGTTGTATTTCAGATTCCCAGCATGCTGCACTACATGAAATATGCAATGGGTAGCTACGGCTGGCTTTTCTTTATTTATGATCATCTGACTACAGGAGTCTGTCAACTGTGTCCATATTATAGGTGAGAACACAAATGTATATACTTACCTTTTCTCATTGGTTTATCTAAGCTGCACTATTGAACTTGGCTTATAATTACCTTCTTGTGAAGGAGGTGTCTGTGAAAGACTGCTGAAGTGACTAGAAGAGATAAAATCAGGAATTATGTAATTAAAAAAATGCTCAGCATTGAATGTTGAATTGAAAATCGACATCACAGCACTAGGGACACCCCCATTAGTGCTCCTTCCTTATCTTCATCAGCAAGCGAAGAGTTCCCATTCAGATGGCACCAGTTTGGGACTGAGCCTTGAGAGGCAGGGGGTAAGAAGTGTTGGTGTTGTGGGTAGTGGTCCTACCCCCCGCCCCCCCCATTTCACCTGAGGTCTAGTGAATATCTTTTCACGAAAGGAATGTCCATTGCAGTGTCAGCCTCTTGACCTAGCATAACCTCTCTTACCCCAAGACCCATTGTGCGTGGGGAAGAGCCACACCCTCCCCGAGGTAACTGGGGGTGCGAATCCCCAGGCAAAACACAATGGATCTAGAGGAGCAAACCTTGATAAAAAAACTGGTGCACCACACCGTATTGCCCCCTGTGGAAGCCGGAGGGGTGCTGAACAGTCATAGGAGTGGTAACAAGTATGCTAACCCCCTGAATACCGGAAACTATCGTGAAGGCACAGGGACTCAGGATATGATGATTCAATTGCCTCAACTACTCATGCTTAGAGCCAAGAAGAGCTCACCGAAACCTGCAGGCAATCTGGTGGCGGGGAATAAGCACACTGTGAGCCCCAACTCAGCTACATGTCAAAGGGGAAGGCAGAAACACAATCCATATTTCTCTAAGAACTGACACAGCACACTTCTGGCTGCTGTCCGGGGAGGGAGGTAATCCACAGACACCCCAGCACTACAATGCCATAAACATGATGGCACCAGTATATCTGCCTTGCCTTTTCCTTGAGTGTTGAGTGCTGGCTAGATCCCCTTGTAACTCTTCGCAAGACAACTGGTGTTCAAACATAAAGACAGATAATTTGGCACCGTATGAAATAATTACAAACATTTTATGTATGGCATATGTGCTTGTCATACACAGATTGGTATGCTTGACTTGTCTTTAGTTTCACCTGCACTTAGTCCACACTGTAGTTGGCATGTACTAGTTAATCATGGCAACGACCACTGTCCTTGTGTTATTCTCTTAAAAAAGGGTGTCAGCACACATAATAGGATCAATTCAAACCCTTTCAATACACATCGGAAAATGTTGTCGTAAGCAAGCTTAGGAAAATCAAAAGCCAACACCATGCAGGCCGAAGAAAACAGCTGCAACAACCATTGTGGTGGAATGATGAGGTTGAGTCAGCGTGGGTACCTAAAAGACATGCTGTAAAGATCTGGCAGAAAGAAATGAAATCCACTGACTCTACTCCAGACCTACTGAGGGAATGTAAACACACCATGCAGACAACAACAGCAGCCTTCAAAGTAGTTGCCCAGCAAGCCAAGAACACAACCTGGGAAATATTTTGCGATGAAGTATGCAAGGACAAATCTCGTGCAAAATTCTGGTCCATACACAAGGCTGTGACAGGTGCTCCTAGACGCCGAGGTAGTAGAGACTTCCGAAATGAAGACCAGACATGTAACAGGTCTGATAAAGAGAAAGGAAGAGCATTCTTTGACAGATACCTCAAGCAAATCTGCACGCAAGACAATGCCACCCATCAGACAACCGTGGATATGGTCCTTGCAACATGTGCCATTACAGGCATTAAAGATGCTCAGCTTATTACGGTCACTGAATTTAAGAACATCATCAAAACATCAAAGAAGTCTGCTCCTGGCCCTGATGGCATTCATTATGAAGACATTGCCAAGCTGCTCACAAAATCCATGGAGGTCCTATGTAAAGCCTACAATGACAGCATCTACAATAGTACCATCTCAGAAAGCTGGCTGCACAGCTATTTGATTCCGCTAGAAAAATCTGGCAAAGACTCCAAGCACATAAATGGCTAAAGAATCATTACGATGCAAAACACATTAGGCAAAACATTGGAAAAGATAATAGTGAGAAGACTGGCAAGTCATGTTGAAATACATCAGCTGCTACCCTCCAACTTTGAGTAACAGAAAAATACGGTGATGTGGCGTAATGCCGTTGTCTTTGCACATGACAAATTTTAAGGTTTTCAAGCTAGATTTGAATCATGTGCAGTTGCCATAGATCTGGAGGATGCATACAACAAAGTTTCCTTCATTTAAATGAACTCAACCTCCCAATTATTCGATGGATGCCTCACTTTAAATGTGCTTCGAACTCTGAACATCTCCCACAGGGTTCATTGTCTCCTATCCTCTTTATTTCGTCAAGATCACAGGAGAAACACTATCTGCCTTTATCACTTTTGTACTGGAGGCATGGGTATTGATCCACATTACAGTAACCAAAGACAAGAAAGGTCTCTCCGCAATAAAAGTTATGGGAGCTGCAAACTTTGAGCTACGGCTACTTGTAATGTTGTGTCGTGCATTAGTTCTCTCCACCATTGAATATGCCTTGGCCATCTTGACAATCAGCACCACACAGATGAACAGACTGGAAAAAATTGATAGTGAGGCAATACGTATTATTTTAGGATGCACTAGAGACACCTCCTGTAAATCCATGCGATACCTCTTGGATTTCCCCACAATGGAAAACAGAATCAAGCTATCCTGGGCTGTTGCTTTTCTCAAAGTGAAGTCAGACCATCGACACCCACTTTATGAGGAATTATTCAAGCAAAAAATTAGTAGACTCAAACGAGACAAATCCTGGATGGGTTGAGCTTAGGATGCCGTCGAACATGTTTGCCGTCTTACTGACATTAATTTGGAAATGAATATATAATTATGCCTCCCTCTCCAAACATTAATATTACAGTCCATATCACACTTGATGGAAGCAGTAGAGAGCAGATTCCTGGCATTGTTGACACTTTAGTCAGAACACTGATTGATGAAAACACAGATAAAGGTGATGCTATAGTTTACACAGAGGGGTCAGTAATTAGGGGCAATCGAAATGCCTGTGGGCCTTCACAGTAAGCTCAAGGGGGGGAAACCATAAAGGAGATGAATGGTGCCTTTACTGTTACAACTAGAAGCCTTACAATGGAAACTATGGCTGTAACAAAGGTTTTAGCATGGCTCGGAACTCAGAAGTTCACACGTATGCATTCTTAGTGACTCGATAAATATCCAAGCTGGATTTATCAGGCAGGAATGGATTGAAACACTAAGCACTTCACAAATATCTGCCCTAACCTTCATCTTTGTGCCAGGTCATGTGGGTGTTCAAATGAACGCGCGTGCAGACTATCTTGCTGACACTGCAGTTGCTATGGCTGGCCTAGTACTGGACAGAAGTGATGTTATCAATGGCATGCGCTGCACTTACCATACCAAGCAGCATGCCAAAGGACATGACTCCATATCCCTGTTTAGACTGATGGACATGGGGGTGCAGCCTGGAGTTGCAAGAAATGAACATTTCACTAAGGGGACAAGAGGTTTCATTAACCAACAGTGAACAGGCGTCATCAGTCGTTTTACACTTGTGGAGCTTTTGAGGAGGAGATAGGAGCACCTATGGATCTGTCCGGAGTGCTGTTATGATAATCCTTTCTAATCACTAATCACACAGATTGGTATGGGGCCTCCATGCTTGTGGGGCCCCAGGGCATTGGCACTTCTTCATTTTAAGGTAAAAGGTAGAAGATAAAATATGTTAAATTATAAATAGAAGAGAAAGATGTGCAGAGTTTCAACCATTTGATTGGTTATTGATAATACCTAGTTGGCGCAGCAAAACAGGAAAACCTTGCAGGAGCCAGCCAGCCTTTGTTACATCAGCCAGAACAGAATGGAAGTTGTTAGCCTCAAAACACTTAGAGACGTACTCAGGAGGAGATCAGAGCACTTATGATCATGTCCGATGTGCGATGATGGTCTCAAAAACGAAAAATGAACAGTGAACAATGGTTATTGTTAGCAGACTGTTATTTGCAAGCAAGCACCAGTTAAACAAGTTTGAACATTGTCATCAGGTTTGGTTCATGCGTTCGCACATCTAATAGTGTGATGAGTGACAACTGTTGTCAGTGTAACACAGCTGCCATCAAGGAACTGACTGGCATCTCTGATGAAGACTTAATCTATGTTACGTTCCATAACAAGGTAGGTACATTTTATACTGTTTATGGCCTCTGTCTGTTATTGATAGGTCCGTTGTTGCAGAGTAAGATCATAATGTCATTTCATTCATGAGTTAAGAATGGGCTGATTCAAAAGTGGCTCATTAGGTTTTGGGTGTCAAAGAGGCTGATTTGATGTTGAGTTCAAAAGTCACTGGTTAGAATTGGTCAAAGTTCTTTTAGAATGAGTGTTCCTTGTGGAAGCTCAAATAGATCATCATGGTCTGGAGAGAATGGTACAGTGGGGAATGACCAGGGGGTCTAGTCAACTCACAGAGGAAACACAAGAAGGAAACATTCAGACTGCTACATTAGATTGACATAGAACCTGTTCTGCTGTATGGCAGCAAATCTTGGAAGTCAGTGAACAAATTAGGAAGAATTTGAAAGCAACAGACATGTGGTTTCTGAGACTAATGTTACAAATACCTTGGATGCTCAGAGTAACTAACAAAAATTGCTTGAAAAAAGCAAATGAAAGTAGATCTCTATATACAACAATAAGGAAGAGACAAACACTGTTCTTTGGCCACTTTATGAGAAGAGAGACATTGGAGAACATCGGGACAACTAGAAAGATCAGTGGAAAAAGAGGGTAGAGACAGACAAGAGAGATGATGCTGGATGGGCTGAAAGGATGGCATAGAGGGATATCATCTAGAGAGCTGTTCCAGACAACCAGAGATCTGATCTGGGGAAACGCATGAGGATGACGACATTGGTTTGAAACTGCGCTAGTTGCCGAAGGTAGACGTGGAGGGCTTATAGGAATCTCCTGAGTGCTGTGATGTCAGTGTTTAACACAAATCAGCGCAACGGGTTAGATTTTTTGGGTTTAAAGATTAGGCCTTGTTTGTTCATGTATAAATAATTATATTTTTTGGGTTTAAAGATTATTGTTCATGTATAAATAATTAGATTTTTTGGGTTTAAAGATTATTGTTCATGTATAAATGATTAGATTTTTTGGGTTTAAAGATTATTGTTCATGTATAAATGATTAGATTTTTTGGGTTTAAAGATTAGGCCCTAGTCTGTTCATGCATACATGATTAGATTTATTGGGTTTAAAGATTTGTTCTTAGTGTGTTCTTGCGTAGATGATTAGATCTGTTGTGTTTAAAAATTAGGCCTAGTGTGATCTTGCATAGATGATTAAATTTATTAGGTTTAGAGATTAGGCCTCGTGTGTTCATGTATAGATTATTAGATTTATTGGGTTTAAAGATTAGGCCTAGTCTATTCATGCATAGATCATTAGATTTATTAGGTTTAAAGATCCGGCCTAGTGTGTTCATGTATAGATTATTAGATTTAGTGGAATTAAAAATCTAGGCCTAGTGTGTTCACACATAGATGATTACACTTATGGGATCATGTCAGTGGCATGAGAAAGTTCTTTTACTTTTATTGCTGTTTTAAAGTTAAATTAGTTTTTGACAGTCTAATTTGAAATTTTCTGTGAAAGATTTGTGTATTTGAAATCCCTCCTACCTTCTGAGCTTAATTGTTCTTTAAATGTTCATATTGCACTTGGTTTTGTCCCTTGGCTCCATAGAATGGCTAGCCACCTGCAGAGAGCATCACACAAAGTACAAACTTCATATTTCCAGTATAAATTCCAAGGGATCTTGGTACAAATTGCATTTGAGAACTAAACGATTAAATCCATGAAATGAACCCATAACCTTCAGAGCACGTTGCAAATAGCTTAACCACTGTAACATAAAAAACCATGTGGTTACCTTTGCTTTTAAATTGTATATAAAATACACAATCTACACATCTGTTGGAATCTTCATAATTTGATAGTTTCTTCACGTCTGTGTTTGGTGATTTCTTGTGGAGTTTTATGTCTTCCATTTTCACGTTCTGCTAGAAGATTATATTCTTGACTTAATATCAATAGTCTATACCTTGTGTATTTTCAGTTCTTTTCCATGCCACGAGGTCAAAATGTCCAGCAGTTTTCGTAATTAGTCTTTTTCTGCTTCTCTTCTCCTCCAGCTTTCCCCTTGGCACAGTGTGCTCCGGTATTCCTCTTTGCATGATGTGACCAAAGAATGCAGTCTGTCTCCTTGTGATCAATTCTCCTTCTGTGTTAATTTTGTTCAATACATCTTCTTTGCTCTTTTTATCTGTCCATGATGGTCTGTAAAACCATATCTCGGCAGCTTCCACATACTTCTCCACCAGCTGGCTCATTGTTCATCACGCTCTTCTGTGGATCAGCAATCTCTGTATAGCTCTTAAGAACTAGCATATTCGAAGAATAACTTTTTTTTTTCAAAGGAATCATACATTGTTAAACTCTTTTCTAGTTGCTGACTAGTGGCTTGGAAAGAGGGAGATAAATTACATGTTAAACTCTCAGTAATTGGAAAGCCTTTCATTTGATATCACAACATCTAGTTTGAGAATGGAGATGGAGGCAGTCTCTGCTGCCTTCTACTGGCTTGAAGATCAGCCGTACACACATGCCACATGCTGTGATTGTAACTGACCCACAGAGCTTGTTGATAAAGGTGGAGACAGGCATGCTCCGCATCACTTCAAAGGTCCCGGGTAGTTAGCATTCTTTGGATATTTTCTCCAGGTATGCCAGTGTGTTGGGAAATGAGCAGGTAAATAGATTGACCGGTTCTGCATCACTTGGTGGTAAACTGATGTATGACAAGCAGTATGTTGTGAGTGCTCTTTGGGAGCGATTGAACAGTGCGGAGGCACAAAAAGATCATTGCGGTCTGAGTAGAATCTTATGGGGGTTGTCCTGAGTGCTGTGATGTCTATTCTTGATTCAACATTAAACATTTAATTGGAAATGAACAAGTGTATGCAGTATGTTCACTGTCCTGATAAATTTTCTTACTGACATCTTAGTATAAACATCTCTGACCTTTGGCTTCAGATAATGACCTTCTGTTCCTGAAGCAGTTGCTCTATGAAGATGAGCTTAGAAAGATGAAAAGACTTTGCCACCTCATAATATATGTGAAATGAGTTCACACCCGTACTGAAGTGTTTGTCATGAGAATTACATTGAGTTTTCTTATAGCACAACATGATATAATACATCATATAACAAGTTTGACTTTTGGTCTGGTCAGTTCAAGCAAGTGCCATTTTATGTGGTGATTGACAGGGAAACACAGTCAGTTGTCATCAGCATACGGGGTACTCTTTCTTTCCAGGTATTTAGTTATTTCTTGTACTGTTTGTCCAGTTGACATAAATTTGTTAACATGTGTAATCTGGTAATCTGGTAATTTTAATTTCAGCTTCATAGCAAACGGGTCACCCCATCTTTGCTCGGCTCCTGTGCCAACGAAAAACACACAGAATGTTTATCACAGTCCCTTGTGGAAAGACTGAAAAACTGCTGTCTCAGCAAATCTAGCATACACTCGCATTAAAAGCATATGGTAGCCATCCGAAGTGCTAACACAAACAGTCTGACGTTAGAAATGCAGTTCATCATTGATGGTAACAGAAGTCACCAAAAGATCAGCAGTTGCACACGCGATCAATTTTAATCAAATAATGGCCCCACCAATATTGCGACAACCGGCATCGCGCCATTTTCTGAATCTACAAATCACACCACTACATTGGTCAGTCGAAGAACATTCGAAATGAAATCCGCAGCTCACAGTGTCACGCCATGCACTCAACTCAGAAGCTGGGTAACGAAACTATATACTTCCAGTCTACAAATGGAGCAAAAAAACAACAGCCATAGTCTGGCAGAAGCAAAAAAAAAAAAATTTTGCCTCGGCTCAAAACAGTGGCAGTGCCTAGTGTCGATTTGGACCTGAAGCATTATGTGAGGGTTAAAAAACTGTCACCCCAGCAGTACCCTACTATTAGCTGGGGAGGGGATTTAGGACATTACATCCACCAGCAAGCGTCGCCCCAACAACGATCTGACTGCCTTCGTTAACGACTGTTCACCCAACAGCCATGCAGTTCTTTGGCACGAAGGAGACACCTTGAACTTGGGTTTCGGACTGCCAACTCCCTACACGAAGATATATGTGTGCTACTGGTGTCCCGTAGCCAAAATACTATCTCACTGTATTACTAAAATTCAGCACGCATACTCAAACGCGCAGTAGTTAACACACACACACACACACATATAAATACACTCATTACCTGCCACCCGCTGGCTTGCTGGTGCAGCACACATGACTACATATTTATATAAGTATATATATATATATCGGGAGAGGGAGAGAGTGAGACAAGGGAAGAATCATGCCGAATGACCACACATATGTAAGCCACTGACACAAGGAATTCCCTATGCACACAAGGTCGGCATGACTGTCTTCAAGACGGGGACAGTAAATTCAAATAGCTCAGTCAGATCAGACACAGTCCCTGCTGTGACAGAAAGTTGGCTGTAAAAAGGACTGCCGTAGAAAGGTGTACCCAAGGGACGGTTTCAGAAAGAGATGCATACTTTGTGGTAGGGTAACCTTGCTCGAACAATGTATTCTGCAAGCCACCAGGAGTTGCATTCACATTTTCTAGGTTCTAACAATAGTCTAACATGTGTAATGAATATATTAAGATTTATCCAGATACAGTAGAACTGATAGAGAAATTGTGGGAGATGGGGAACACAGAGAGGGGAGATGGAGTCTGTGGGGAGTAGGATTGGATGGACATAGTGTGAGTTGCAGGGGATGGGATAACTGTAAAATATAGTTGTCAGCCTGTGCTCTGAAGTAAGATAAAGGGCAGAAGAAGAAGGAAGAGGTAGAAGAGGAGTAGAAGCAGAAAGAGAAGGAAAAGAAGTGAATTGGGAGAAGGAGAATATTGGAGGAAGAGGAAAAGAAGAAGAAAAAGAATGAGGAGGCATATGAGGATAAGAAGAAGACACAAAATTGACAGATTAGTCTGTAGACAATATATAGTTATAAAGTAAAGGATCACTTTGGCACCAGTGGCAGCCATTGTTATAGCATTTAATCATGGCATGGCAAGATGTCAGAAAAATTAATGGATACAATTTGCTAGAGAATCAAGAGTGTAGAAGCATATTTGCCCAAATGAACTAAGGCAGATCAAAAAACAAAACACATAGAGAACAGAATCAGAGAAAAGGCTGAAATAATCTGGATGACATGATGTGCCCTACGCATCCCCCAAAAAGGTAAAAATTCAGGCAGTTAAGACAGTGTTTTTAATGCTTGGTGTCTAACTTAATGAGCCACTAACGTCAAGCTGCAGTAACTTCCAGGGGTAAGTCACTCAAAATCTGCAGTGACTGTTTTTATTCCTTATGCTTGCAATAATCATATTCTTTTATGATCAACACTTAATACTTGTGCAAGTCACAGCTCTTAATACTGACTTTGTACAGTGACTTCTTCTTATAGTCCAAGTTTGTGATGGTGATCAGTTCACAGCCTTTTGTTTAAATGTGTTGTAGTTAGTTTCTGATACAATTTCTCTAGCATGATGCCATACTGTCCAACATCTTCTCTGTAGATCTCACTCTGCCTTTCTTCCTCTCCATCTTTTTTGCTGTCTTGGCTCAGTTTTGCCCCTTCTCACAGTGTGTCATAATAATGTAGATAACCTTCTTCTGATGTGGGTAATCCGTTCTGTTTATGACTTAATTTCTTCCAAGACAATATCATTACACATTTTATCAGTCCACAATGTTTTTATTATTATTCTGTAAATACCACATTTCCAGATCTTTCACATATGTATTTAATAAACAAATAGGCATGAATTGATCAACATTAAGCTAAAAGTCACAATGAACAAGAGACAACATAAAAATCACATGCTACAATCAAAATACCGGGAACCAAAATAACAGAAGCTTACTGCATGACAAGAGCATCTTCCAAAAGTGGCTATGTTTAGCTGAAAGTAACTCTCTTTCTCAGGTCATTTGACAAAAATAATTTGTAGTATTATATGTTGTTGTGTGTAAGAAATATAAGATCTGAAAAATGGTATACTGAAGATATCATCTATAATTTTCTGCCAGGATGCACTGGCTGACTTGTCTGGTACCGGATCCACACTTGAAATCCCAGGCATCTCACACAGTTACTGCCATTCTGCCATGTTGGACTGTGCCAATTATATTCTTGAACAGTTACAGTCTCAACAAATTCTGGCCACAGCCTTCGCTAGGCTTCAGGTCAGTTTAGCAAGTAACGAGACTGTCTAATTCTCTTTATTATCCTCTTCATCCTTTATTTTTCTGCCATCTTCCTTGCTTTTCATTCTCATCATCTTCATTTTCTCCTCTTCTTCTTCGTCTTTTCCCCTTGCCTCCTTCTTTTGTGCTATTGTTTCTCTATTTAAAAAAAAATATTTATACTATCTATATTTCTAGTCTGTGGCTAAGTCGATGTGAACGCTTCGTAATGCTGGGATGCCGGGTTCGATCCCAGCTGCCGGCCATGCCCCTTGCGTTGGTTTCGACAGTGGTATCAAGAAAGCCGACCGTCCAGAAAGCAATGGCAAACTACTGGACGTAAATTTGCCTAGAAAAACCACACAACAGCCAGGGGCTGAAGGTTGGTTCTGCAAAGTCCTGTAAAGGATACGCATCTAACCTTTAAATCTACAGTATTGTCTTGGGGATAAATTGTATGGTTTAAAAAAAAATATTATTGTTTCCAGACAGTTAATGTTTTGTCTTTGGTTAAGTCTTGAAGGTGTTCCACAGTCCCTTGACCACATGTTCACCATGTTGAGTCACTAATTTGAAATATATAATACAGCCATGGCAGAAACAGACCAAGAAGAATTATGTTGGATGATCTGATACAACAGTTCCCAAGTAGCTAAGAACTGCAGACCTCTCTTTTTTTGAAAATCTGCCATGAACCCAATACTAATTTTTTTTTAAAAATTAGACACAATAAAGAATTTGTAATAATTTATAAATATGATAATCACAAAAAGGATTGTGTTTAAAGTTGGGTGTTCTTTGTAAGTGATATTTAAATGTGTTCATTGGAACCTAGGGGGGGGGGGGGGGGGGGGGGGGGGGGTTGTTTGCAGACCAACAAATTGGTCTAATACAGAGGCATTGAGGACTATAATTAATAGGAGTGATGTGAATATCATCTGACAGGGTGTGCACCTACGATTCTGGGGTTTGATCCCTGCATCATGAGCCATGTTGTGTATACAGTTACTACACTACATACACTCAATGTAACTGGTTAAAAGAAGTGATGACAACATGGGTGACTGCAGTCACCTTGTGGCCAAGATACTCTGCCCATTGTTGTTGGAGTGGTTTTTGTCAGTAAAGGTTCCTGCCAAAACGATCAATTGTTCTTGTCTGTGTATGTGGGCACCACTTGGTGGTGAATTGCTGTATTACAAGCTACGTGATGTGAGGGCCCTTTATGGTCTGAGGTGAATGGCTCTGCTGGGAGTTACCAGGGGATCTGGCCGAAGCTCAACACTCAAGGGAAGGACGATATGGTTATACAATCAGACAGTTACTGGTACCATTGGAATTGGAACTCTCGGCTTGCTGCTGAAGATGGGGGCAGAGCGCTTATGGGAGTGTTCTGAGTGCTGTCATATAGATTCTGAATTCAACATTGTTACCATATAATTCCTGTTATTCTGTCCCAGCACTGGTATAGCACTAGATATAGCTAAAATATGATCTGAATTTATTCTATTGTTATTGTCTCATCAGACATTGTTTACCATTGTCTGAAACCTTACACTTTCAGACAGAATCCAAATTAGTCATCACTGGTCACAGCTTGGGAGGTGGAGTGGCAGCCATTTTAGCTGTATTGCTGCGACCAGAGTATCCTGACCTCATATGTTTTTCATTCTCTCCCCCTGGTGGGCTTATGAGGTATTTCTTATTGCTTATTATGTTCAGTTAGTTAGATAGTACAAGATATCAAGGAACTGAAATACTTTTTGTCTTAAAGGGGAAGTATTTCTTATTGCTTATTGTGTTCAGTTAGTTAGATAGTACAAGATATCAAGGAACTGAAATACTTTTTTGTCTTAAAGGGGAAGTATTTCTTATTGCTTATTGTGTTCAGTTAGTTAGATAGTACAAGATATCAAGGAACTGAAATACTTTTTGTCTTAAAGGGGAAGTATTTTTTATTGCTTATTGTGTTCAGTTGGTTAGATAGTACAAGATATCAAGGAACTGAAATACTTTTTGTCTTAAAGGGGAAGTATTTTTTATTGCTTATTGTGTTCAGTTAGTTAGATAGTACAAGATATCAAGGAACTGAAATACTTTTTGTCTTAAAGGGGAAGTATTTTTTATTGCTTATTGTGTTCAGTTAGTTAGATAGTACAAGATATCAAGGAACTGAAATACTTTTTGTCTTAAAGGGGAAGTATTTCTTATTGCTTATTGTGTTCAGTTAGTTAGATAGTACAAGATATCAAGGAACTGAAATACTTTTTGTCTTAAAGGGGAAGTATTTCTTATTGCTTATTGTGTTCAGTTAGTTAGATAGTACAAGATATCAAGGAACTGAAATACTTTTTTGTCTTAAAGGGGAAGTATTTCTTATTGCTTATTGTGTTCAGTTAGTTAGATAGTACAAGATATCAAGGAACTGAAATACTTTTTTGTCTTAAAGGGGAAGTATTTTTTATTGCTTATTGTGTTCAGTTAGTTAGATAGTACAAGATATCAAGGAACTGAAATACTTTTTGTCTTAAAGGGGAAGTATTTTTTATTGCTTATTGTGTTCAGTTAGTTAGATAGTACAAGATATCAAGGAACTGAAATACTTTTTGTCTTAAAGGGGAAGTATTTTTTATTGCTTATTGTGTTCAGTTAGTTAGATAGTACAAGATATCAAGGAACTGAAATACTTTTTGTCTTAAAGGGGAAGTATTTTTTATTGCTTATTGTGTTCAGTTAGTTAGATAGTACAAGATATGATGGAACTGAAATACTTTTTGTCGTGAAGGGGAAGTATTTCTTATTGCTTATTGTGTTTGGTTAGTTAGTATAAATATGATGGGAATAAAATACTTCATGTTTGAAGGTGTTATTTCTTATTGCTTCCAGTGTTTGATTAGTTAGATAGTACAAGAGAGGATTGGAATGTAATACTTCTTGTCTTTAAGGAAAGGTATTTCTTATTGCTTCCTGTATTTGGTTAAACTACTGGATGTAAATTTGCCTAGAGAAACCACACAAAAGACAGGGGCTGCTGGGGTTGGTTCTGCAACGTCCTGTAAAGGATACATAACTAACCATATATCCTGTATTTGGTTAGTTAGATTGTACAAGAGGATGGGAATGAAATACTTCTTTTTTATTTGGAAGACATAATGACTTGGAGCTTTTTACTAAAACAGGCAAATCAGGTAAGAAAAAAGAACAGAAAGAAAGATGATACCTGATAATACAAAGAAAAGAATACCCTGTGGTAACCTTTTTTAGCTTTTGTAATATTGTATAAACATTTAAAATGAAAAAGAAGCAAGCAGAATGGAATGAAGTGTTTGTACTTAACTCAGCAACTACAAGTCTCAAAAGAAACAAACTTAAGATGGTGTGGATATTTGCAAAAAGGTAGTGAATTGTACATTTAACTTTCTCAAAAGAGAACCAAAAACAAATATATGACATGCATTTTTTCTCAAGGTAAAAAGCCCACAGAAGCTAGAAATAAAAATGAGTAAGCTAAAAAAGCACTGCCTAAGCTCATCTTTATAGAATATTTATAGATGTGCAGTTCTAGCATGTATGACCAACAGTTTTGCCACTGCTACAATATTTATGCACTGTATTGAGATACTCCAAATTAACGTTCTATGCAGTAAAGCAGGACAAGTAGTGACAACAAGGCCTCCCTTTTCCCCCTCATTACAGCATAAGCCAGTCCCAATCAGAACAAAGAAACATCTCATACAAAGCATATTTATTCCCACGGTGTGCTGTCAGTGTCACTCACAACAAAACATAAAATGAAAATTAGTAATGGAAATGAGGTGTCTGAGATAGACTAGCAGTGACCAGAAAAGATAAAATCAGGAATGAAGTCATGCAAGATAAAGTTGGCACAGTACCAATTCTTAAAAACACACAAAGACAGCAGATCAAGTGGTTTGCCCACTTGGAGAGAATGCCTTCTGATGCTGTGATATGCAAGGCATATACCAAAAAAGGAGAAGAAAAAAGAAGAACAAAGAGCAAGAGGTAGACCAAGAACATAAAGGAAGATAACTTCAGAGAAACTCTAAAGTGCCATGATGTGTATATGGTCGAAGCAGCCAGAAGAGCATGAAGCAGGACCTTGTATCTCCCTTGACACCCAAAACTTTAAAAGAGGACATTATGAAGAAAAAGAAGATTGAGATACTCCCTATTGATCTTTGGGAGGAGCTCTTTTTGCATTGCTGTTTGTCCACTCCAGGATTTTAGTCTGCAGGATTAACACCTTAAGGATGAGAATCCTACATGTAAAAATCTTGGTAAGCCCTGTTGACATGTAGAGTTATATTGAAGCCCTTGATTGCTACTGAGTACCCTAAAGTGCAGTTTGGGCATGGATACAGGTGCGCTTTTATGGAGGGATCTTTGCACAGTTCAAATGATCCTTATAAATAAGCAGAGGTGTGATAGTGCAATGTCTGGGTATCTTTATAAATGGTATGCAGATGTGCATTAATGTAATCTCCACTGATAAGGCTTACAGTTAGATTGAAAAGTACATCTTATTTCAGGTAATGACAAAATTACAGTTATTCTTGATTATTCCTCCCATAATATATTTGTAACTTTCTGATATGATCTCCCCTTCCATACCACCATACCCAGCCCTAGTGCCAGGAGATACACACAAGACTTTGTTTGCTCTGTCATTCTTGGTCAAGATCTGGTGCCAAGATTGGGGATGTACACCCTTATGGATCTGAAAGTCAGTATTCTCAGCGCCATCTGTAACTGCACTGAGCCTAAGGTCAGTTTATGCCTTCTACCTCACATTTTATTGTAATGAAAAGTGTGAAATTTAAAGGCACATAAAAGAGAATTACACAAAAAAAAAAAATAGCAGCAGTGAAAGTTAATTAGTTATTTATCGGAACTGTTATCCTCATCACACATTAGGCAAATCCATAAGTGCTCGGATCCCATCTCCAGTATATTCCTCAGCGTGTGGTGACTGATAACACCAGCTCTGTGTTGGTTTACTATTATTACTTTTTTAAAAAAAATCTAACCTTTTAGAACACACTTTTTGAAGTTCATTAATATTTATTGCTGATTTTCTGTTATCTCCTGAATCATCTCTTGTTCGCCTCTCTGAAAACATAGAAAACGTCAGCCTAGTCTATTACTTGCCCTGCACCTACAGTGGCCCTACAAGCAGGCCAATCTGCTTGTTCATTCCCTCTTACTGCAGCATTGTACGTGAGGGTAACAGAACAAATAATCTAGCAATGTTAGCTTTGAACATGTGTGCAGAAATCTCTTTCTGTTTCCTACTACTGCAGTCTTCATTATCTCTTCTTCTGATCATTATTACAGTCATGAGTATATTGATCTTCATGGCACTCAGGACATGTTCATATGGGCTCAGATTTCCCCTCAACGTATACATCATTGTCCTTCTGTTAATAGTGCCAGTGCTGTGATGGTTGACGAGATTTCTCATAATCTGGTGTGCCTCTCATGCCTGACTATGCCAACATTTACTCCTAGTTCTTGCATTCATATCAACAGTGTGGAAGAGCTACCTCCAAATTCATCCGATCATCTTTTCTCTTTAAGGGCAATAGAAATGTTGATGTGATCCATTGGCTGGTCAGCTGCAGCAGTGGCAGAGCAGTGGCTCTCTAAGCTGTTTTCATTGCCAACAACACACACATGCCTTCTAAACAAAGGGCTAAAAGGGGGCAAATCATGGCTTGGTAGGACAGAAGACAATATCATACAGGTCTGCAGTCTTACAGACATCAGCCCCAGGGAAGAATGGATACCTGTGTCCCAGGTGCTCAACTGAACTTTTTCTTGTGTTCTTGCTTGATAGGAACTGTCCGGAGCAGAATCCAGTTGCTATGAATGCAGATGTCCAAGCGCTAATGTGTGAAAAATCATTTTATTTGTCCCCCAAACGTTTAATAATACTTTGGGATTAACAGTAGTGATTATATGTCATTTTTATGTCATCCTTGTGTCATTGAAAAACAACAACCTGATGACATCACATAGTCAGTTGTTTCTGTGTTAACAAAACCACATATTTCTTGGTTAAATGAAGTGAAAGCAGTTAATTGTTTGCTTTGTTTGTATTTAGTTATTACCTCCCATACCAGGCCGCCTGTTATTTGGCTTTGAAGATTAACATATTTTTAAACAATAATTTGTATTTATTATCTTGAAGGCTGTGATGTCACAAGTGAAAGCAGGCTTACCTTTCTGCTCGATAATTAAATTTCCAACCCTTTGGATTTTGTAAAAACTGACAAAGATTCAAAATTTCTTCAGCATTTTCTTCTCTTCCTATAGTTTCCTCTGACAGAGTTAATTTGTAAAAAGGTTATTTTTTAAAGATTCTTAGTTTCAAAGAATTAACTGGACTATGGGTCAGATGCTTTTTCTTTTGTCTTCACACCAGCACCTGGTTGTAACCCACTGTCGGGGTTTTCTATATTTGTCCTACACTTTTTGAGTGATAAATTGTTTTTCTTTCTGTTGTTGTTACCAGACTCAGCTTCACCATCTATTTTTATTCTTTTGCTAGATTCAGTTTTACTATCTAATTTTGTTGTTGTTGCCAGATTCAGCTTCACCATATATTTTTGTTGTTGTAGCCAGATTCAGCTTCACCATCTTTTTGTTGTTGTTGTTGCCAGATTCAGCTTCACCATCTATTTTTGTTGTTGCCAGATTCAGCTTCACCATTTATTTTTATTGTTGTTTCCAGATTCAGCTTCACCATCTAATTTTGTTGTTGTTGCCAGATTCAGCTTCCCCATGTATTTTTTTCTTGTTGCAATTCAGCTTCACCATCTATTTTTGTTGTTGTGGCCAGATTTAGCTTCACCATCTATTTATCTCTTTCTCAGAATTCTGCCCCATTTTTTTTTCTTTAGAGGGTTCTAAAAACAGTTAAGCCTGGTTGTATTCTTACTAGATGGCCAGACTGCTTCATTTTCTGTCTCTTAATGTAATTCAGGTACAACTTCTCTCTAATGCCAGTATCCATGTCCCTGTACCTTGTGTTGCTGGTTATTCTAGGTTAAATTAGTGTTTCCATATTTTAAGGCAGTGGTATACTGAGGTGGGCTGACCAGTTTCCTTCCTATCATGCTCTACTTCCCAGGCAGTTGCCAGAAACTGTTCAATATAATTTGGTACCAGTTCACAACTGTACTTGTTGAAAAATGGTCCTGCCACTGCTAGAATCTAAACTCTGAACACTCCCCGTATGGATTCCTGGTTTCTGGGGCCCAGTTTTTGGTGGAAGAAAGAAAAGACCCACCACTTCTTAACAAACACATAGCAAACAGTGACTAATTAAGGATTTACTTAAATTGGATGTATTGGGCTTGAAAGGTGTGCACATATCACAGCCTAGATGTAAATCACAACATAATGTGCCAACCGCCCTATTAAGAACCAGTGCAAGAGAAGAAGGAGATAAAATAATACTCCAATCAGTGTCTTGGTTGGCAGTCATTTGAACGATCATACAGTTGCAGCAATAGATGATTAACATCAGTTTTATATTTGGCATTCTTGTATTTTTTCTTCCTGCTTTAGTATAAAATCCTGGCCACAGGCTGCATGCGCCTCTTGTGCTGTGCAGGTCCAGCAAATGACCTCTCAGACAGACCCAGCATAAGGACTAGTTCAAGCTCTGAGCAAGTGAGTCAGGAAACATTGCCTATTCTACAGGTGAGAATCTTTACCTGCAATTAAAATCTGGGCATTAAAGGGTTAAAAAAGTTTCTTTACCTAATTCTTTAGGTTTCATAGAGTTTATTTGTTTGATTATTATTACTGAAATCTTATTGTTTAGCCTAAGTAGAAAAGTGAAAAGGACTCTTTTCACACCACTGGTCCATCCAGGATCTGGTGCTAGACCCATATTTTTTAATGACTTATAAACACTCGTTGGGTAGTTTAGTCCAGTGCGTGCTGCCCACCTTTTCTTTCCATGAATTTCACGGTACCCATTTTAGGCTGGGTTGACCTTCAGAGCCAAGGTCATTTATTTAAAAATCTGACATTCTGTGGATTTGAACCCATGATCTTCGGAGTTGGGGTGTTATAATAGTTGATTGAAATATCAAATATAGGAGGATACATGGTTAAATTTATTAACAGGTAGGGGTGGTTTGACATTTCAACTGCATAACAAGTTTTGGAGAATTCATGCTTGAGTTAATAAACTAGTTTAGGTATTTACATGTTATTTACATAACAGGTATTTTAAAATTCATTCTTGAGTCAAATGACAAGTATGGGAGACTTAACAGTTGAATTACTAATTAAATTAAATTCCAAATATCGACAGATGGTGTTCCTTGATTCTGGTGATTGTGTGAAAGGTGACCTCCTGTGCTTATTGACTTAGCTATGTGCAGTATATTTGCAGACTTTGAGCTGTTCTTCTTCCTCTTCTTCTGCATTGACCCTTCAAAGAGTGGTTGGCAGGCTGTATTGTGCTTTACAGCTAGGTTGTGATATCTTCACCGTTTGGCCCAACTGATTGAATTTCAGCAATTTCATCAAATCCTTAATTAGTTGCTTTTTACAACATGGTTGTTAAGGAGAATAAACAGAGGGGGAACCTTTGAGGCCGTTAAATATTTTGAATTAATCAAGTAACAGAAAGTGTATTGATCGGCACTCATTGAAAGAAGTAGAAAGATAGAAGAACACACGGGACAACATACAATTGAGTGCCGATCAATACACTTTCTGTTACTTGAATTATTATTAATATTTAATGGCCTCAAAGGTTCCCCTCTGTTTATTTATAGGAATGATGTATACACACTGGAACCTACTAATCAAATACCTTTCTTAAATGTTTGTGTATTCTAGACAAAGCATTAAGGTGTACTGTGTTCGTAAATTGTTGCTGTGATTGTTATTCGACATATGCTTCATTAATATACATTTCTGTAACCTATGGTGCCATTTCAATGGTTTGAAATGAATTCTGTCCGTATTCCGTAGTTGTGAATTGGGGGTGGGGGTGGGGGGGGGGGGGGGTGGGGGGGGGGGGGGGGGGGGGGGGGGGGGTGCCTAGTTGACCATGTTCTTAGTGCACTATAGCTTTCGATTTTTATGTTGTCTAGTGTGTTCTTCTATCTTTCTACTTCTTTCAGTGAGTGCCGATTAATACACTTTCTGTTACTTGATTAATTCATAATAGTTAAGGAGAAGTGAGTCCTTTTTTCCCCCAAATTGAGGCTCCAGAATCCTCACGGGAAGTCATCAGTGGATTCTTGATATCGCCTCTCATATTGCCTCCTGCTGTATTAAGAATGAACTATTCTGCTTTTCAAATCTTGCTGTTCTCCTTGTTGAAAGTGTTAAAATTTAATATTAATGGTAAAGTGTTGGTAAGAAGTTTATCTCTTTTGTGTCAGTTGTGTATGTATGTGTGTGTTTTGCAGTGATGTTTGCCTATCAGTTTACTGGTTTACAAGGTTAGTCCACCTATATTGGGTACCAGATAATGTCCTGGGAAGTAAAGGTGGCCAACTTGATGTTGACCCACATCACCCACCCAGTGCCAGTTGGTCTATAAAAAATGTAGGTCTGTTGGCATAAGAAGGGCTTTTAAAAAAAATGTTACAACCAGATAGATATTCAGTGACATAGTGGTTAATCTGCTTGCCTGCCAAAATATTGATCAGGGTTCAATTCCCATTAGTGAGGGGCATGGCGTTTTCCAGTCAAAATGACACTGGGATTGATTGAACTTCATAAAAATTGGCA